TTGAATGCATCTTAAGCAGCCGGAGGAAATACAAAACATATTATGAACTTCACAATAAAGATTTAAGCATTTGATAACGAACTTAACAAACGTCTATAACGTCTTTTTAAACATTTGTCAAAATTTAACTATACTGTTACGATTTACTGTTGCGTGAAAGGATCCTTAAACTATTCGGAAGGTTAGGTGATTGAAATTGTCTGGAAAAATAATCTGCGCAGCAAAGTATTTTTTATTTACCTTATAAAAGATTTTATTCGTCCATTATGAGATCTAAGGGACGCTGTGACCCAAGCTTTCTGTTTCCTACTTTTGCCATTATTCTCCTTATAATCGGATTCATCATCATGCTCAAAACTTTCGCTCAAGACTTCTCTCTCGTTCTTCGACATGATTCCTTAAAAAAAATATTAGTGTGCTGAGTGTTGAGTAGAGATACTTTGGATGCAAAATGTTTGACAAATGACGCAATAAAAAGTTTTTTAAATAGACAAAAACATTGAAGAATATATTAGTGCGCTAGCTAAAGTCGAATCTTCTAAAACTACGAAATTAAAACTGATTTACTTGGGATTCGACTGTGGCAACCATTATAGTAAGTGGAGAGGTGTGTCACTCCCCAACCTTTTGTGAAATAATAAGTCCAGAAGACGTTTTTATATCAAGTACAGATATAGCAAAAGACATTTGCAGAACATGTTCTACAAATTTGCGTGTTTCTAGAACAAAAGATTATCCTGCCCCAAAAAGCACAATTCATGTATTGGTTTGCTTGTATTAAAATGCAGTCCTTTTGCAGAACAATGAGCAAGCAAAAAACTTGTACTTAATTCGACTCTATTATTGCTAGACACACAATAAATGTAATATAACAAAATAAAACAAATTCTGAATATAGGGACATCTCGCTTTTTTGATATTGAAGACAATACAAGATTTGAAATACGGACTAGGTGATATTTCGCCTTTATTCCAAAGACATCGTCAGCTTGCATTGTATCTATTGGTCTGACGATGTCTTTGGATAGAGACGAAATATCACCAACTCTGTATTTCAATTCTAGTATTGTCTTAAGTATCAAGAAAACGAGACGTCTCTATTGGGAATTTGTTTTATTTTGTTTTATTTCAAATTGCCTGCTTGCCCTGGTTAAATGTAATTTATAGCATGCAATTCTTTTCAAAGAATATGAAAGCGACAACTGTGTAGTATAATGTCATCCGACGTTCAGAAAGTTTAAGATTCAGCAGTATTTGACCCCCTTCCTAAAAGGCCTTAACGCAGATGAAAGGAATTTCATGCTTGGTTCGTCGGCCAAAATTGTTGGTTTTTCTATCAAAAACATATACAACAAAAGTCAGTTCCGGAAAATAAAACACTTCTTCCATTTTTCTAAAGGTGTGTGGGATTCTGGATTCGAAGGACGCAGACATTTATGGATTATTGGGGATCAATTACTACCGAATCATATAAATTCCAATTTCTAAACGACAGGTGATTTTAAAGGTTACAGTGTTTTTTATACAAAGTTCCTGCATATCTCAGTACTGTGATTTATGATCTCCCAAATGAAACATGCATCAGAAAAGAAAAAACACTCACTATTATTGTATTAAGGCTAATTAAGCTAACTTTCTTTCAAAACAAAGTATATTGATAGTGGCCATAAAATGTCAAAAGTAATTTGCTGATGACATTTTCCATGATCCATTTCATGACAATGTAATACAAGCACTATCTTCCTTTAGTCTAAATACTCACATTACACTATGTCTAACAACTGGTCTTAACTTTTGCTTAAGTTATGTTATAGCCCACCTTGTCAGCGCAGATGTTGCTCGCGATGCTTAGCTACAAACAATTAAGTGAAGCAACTCTGCAACTGCTGTTTTTGTGTGCAGGTAGCTTTCACAAAATATTCTCCATATAACTAATTAAAACTGCACATTAAAATAATATCTGCTATGAAGAAGTCGAAAAATAACAAATTATAAAATTTCGATTTCAGAGAAACAAACATCCAAGGTATTAACACAGGTTTGTATTGAGCATGTAAAATGAGACGTTTGCATGATCAGAGAAGTTTTTGAAGTCCTAAGCTCGTTTGTCTTTACAATCATAGAGTCAATTTAATCCATCATTTCAATACAATAAACAACAAACAAGGAATTCATAATCACAATATAACACGTACATCTTCAAGCAATGACATTTCGAGCGAATCCAGTTTAACGCACAATCTGGCAATCTTTGTATGCGTTAACACACGTGTTTGACTATGAATAATTTCATTTCGATAATTAAAGACCGTCTTAAACGACTCACCTTGAGCTCCGGATAATCCAGTATCTTAATATAGAAACTATTGCTTCTTATAAAATTCAACAAACAATGCTGGGTCAGACAACGATTTTATGGTTTACCGACACCAACGCAACCTAGATCTGATTTGTATCAAACAACTAGAAGGCGTTGCGATGTGAGTACATGCAAAGTATATTTGTCAACCCGACGACGGTGAAAATGTCAAGACAAACAGCAAATATTGTGAAGCAATACGATTTTTGGAGTACTCTTTCAATTTATACAGTATATTCCGGAGTTTATTGAGGACTTTATTTCAGTTTTAATGAAGATAGGTACAAAATCTCCAAATGTTTTAAGCAATTTTGAAAAAAGTAAATGATATCATAATAAATGGTAGAGTACTTGAAAAAGTGTTTACTATACCTTACAAGACTTTTGATAAAAAGCATGATGCGATTCGAGCGATTTCTGTTCATGTGAAGCACCTTTTCTAAAGGAAACAAGAATTGCGTGCATGGCTGTATACGGTAAAATATAAAACGTGCGTAAAATATATAGTATTGTGCTTAATAAAACCACCGAATTAATTGGAAAAACTCCCTAAAGAAATGACTTACCTTACCTTAAAAGTTATATGTCGATTTTCATACTTTTGTCAGTCCTATAAGGTATCATGAAGTAAAAACACATTCTCGCACAATTTTAGGTAGAAAAGTTTAAAACCCAATAACAACTCAGTTGAAAAGAAGTAGGAGACGAGAGACGAATGAATGCATAATGAAATACAACGATTAACTAATTTTCTGGGCAATCAAATAGGTTGCTAAATGTCGTCTCCTATATGAAATGACGACTTTTTTAAATGTCGCGTCCTATGAAATGACGACCTTTCTAAAGGTCGTCTTCTATTAAATGACTACTTTTTTTACTTGTCGTCTTCTACAAAATGACGACTTTTTTAAATGTCGTTTTCTATGAAATAACGACTATTTTAAATGTTGTCTCCCATTAAATGATGACGTTTTCAAATAATGTCTGCCATGAAATGAAAACTTTTTAAATGTCAACTTCTATAAAAAAAGATAGACCAAAAAGTAGACTTAAAGGTGGACATAAAGTTAGAAAAAAAAGATAGTAAACAATCAGACAAAAAGGTAGATACAAAGGTAAACATAAAGGTAGACATAAAGGTAAACACAAAAGAAGACACAAAAGAAGACACAAAAGCAGACACAAAAGAAGACACAAAGGTGGACATAAAGGTGGATATAAGGGTAAACAAGAAGGGACACAAAAACAAGAAGGGATACAAAGATAGACGAAAAGGCGATTTTTTTAAATGTAGTCTCCTATGAAATGATGACCTTTTTAAATGTCGTCTTTTATGAAATGACGACATTTTTTCAATATCTTCTTTTATGAAATGATGACTTTTTTAAATGTCGTCTCATACGAAATGACAATTTTTTAAATATTGTCTCCTATTAAATATCGCTCCAGTGAAATGACGACTTTTTTAAATGATGTCTCCTATATGAAATGACGACTTTTTTAAAGAATTTGCTAAATTAGAGCGTGATTTCCAAAATGCATCTATATTGCATGCATTGAAATATATTTGTGTATGAGAATTGCAAGAGCATATTGTATCAGGACAGTAGAAGCATTATCTCCTCGTATTTTTCTCACAAAATTCAATCGAAAGTATTAAAAAATTCAGTAAGTTGCTTTCCTATCAAACAGGAACAAACACATTGATTCACTGCTAAACACTTTCAAAGCAAGTTGTATTCTAAAGCACATTGTAGTATTAAATGGTGGACAGCTTTCATTAAAAGGAGCACAACAAAAGCAGATTGGACGAGGAAGAAAGCTCAAAATGTCACACATTCGATGATTAAGAGTTTTTCACAAGCCGCATATAAGACAAGAATAGTGTTTAGCAAGCATATGTCAGACAAAAATTGGTATAGACAAATTCATGTAAAGTAAATGGTTTGAACCCGGGAGTATCGTCACATGTTTGTAGACGTAGATCGTCCAGGTTAGTAGTAATAGAGTCCTGAGAAGGACTGTTGACTGTAAACAAAATGTTATGACAGCATGTTACTATACCAAAAATAATCATGAACTTTTGTGCTAGTTGATCTATAAACACACATACCTATTAGAATTCCTTCACAAAGTTGTTCGTCACGTGGCAAGGGTAATACGAGCTCCTATATGTGCTTCTACAGAAGTCATAAGCTTGAAACGCACGAAGTAATATCGTAAATTGTATTCGTTATTTTTCATCAGTACCCTGCGTTTTAACTAGAACGCACGTATAAATTTTGACGCTAGAACGCACGATTTATTTTGACTAATGGCGGATCCACCATTGTGTAAATGTGCGTGTAAAATTACGTGTCGACAGCCACTCTTATACTTTTATTGTTTCCCAACGTTCTGTGCAATAGAATTTGCATCATCTACAGGGAGAGTATCAAAAAAGAAGATCTTAAGAAATTAAGGTCTTGTGATATTTCAATACCTGATCATTATGTTCATCCTACTGGTGCATAACTGTGTATGTTTTGCTGTTGGAAGTTACGTTAAATTCCCAGTAGCAGAAAGCGTTCGTAATGGTAACAAAGATATGTAGTGTAATCACGTAACTGCATTTCTGAAAAACTGTTTGCATCACACCCAGTTGGACATAAAATATTCATTTATTCATAAAATATTCAACGCTCTTCTTCAAACTTCTGCAAAAGTTTATCAATTTTTGCTTCTATTTTATCATTCAAGTCACATTTCATTGCTTTCACTTCATCCAATAATGAAGAACGAAGATTATCTATTTTCATTTCAACCGCATTCTCAATATGATCCTCTAACGTCACCTCAAATTCATGATCATGATAAGTATCTTCATCTCCGTGATCAACTTCGTCCATCTCGGTGTCGAAATAAATTAATTGATCAAACAAGGTCTGGCGCAAATTCTTTTTTCCCTTAGAAAAATAAGTGCAAGTTGCATCTTCTTCGGAACGAAAGCACGGTATTTTATTCAATGCTCTCTCAAGTCTGATAACAAACTTTGCCTATGAAAAAAAAATCATTGTTCACAGACACAATAGATTCATGTTTCGAAATATAGTCCACGTGACATGTGACAGGCACGAAAACGAAACCTGAGGATATAAAAACTCTACGGGCAACATCAATATGTTATAAGGAGAATTCATTACAGGGCAAACACACAAAATGACGGCACCCTTGATTGTCACATGAGAGCGACCAGAGTTTTTAGCAAGTAGCCAAACAATCTGTTGCAGACAAAATTTTCAAGTCCATAGGACACCAAGAGAAATTTCCTAAACTGGGCTGAGAGAGTTTAACAGAGATCAAAATTTCAATCAATATAGTCTGTAATATTATTTTTTATAGAACTCTTACAATAGTATATTTACTTACACGTCTAACAAATTTATCAAAGCTTGCCAATTTCATTACTTCGTGTGTATCACCAACAGCTAAGCCAATAAGTACATTTTGAACCACGATGGACAATGCCAAGAAAAACAAGAGAAGAACAAAGAGTTTAAGGTGAAATAACTGAGGATACATTCCCTTTTTTAAGAAATATTCATCGTAATCCAAGCCGTTCATCATAGCAATGAATGTCGAGAAGAACGATATGTACATGTTTCTAAATACGGAGTGTTCTGTGAGGAGGATGTAAAATGTCGTGGAGAACATCAGTACATATACAGTAATCACAGCAAACATCTATAAAAAAATATAGAAATAACATGATTTCTTGCATACTTTATTTTGACGTGGTTAAGATATGTTATGGATTTTTAGAAAAACGTTTCGATGTCTGAAACAGTCTTAACTTTTAAGGATTAAAAAATTACTTTCAAAACTATTCGATTTTTGTGTACAACTGAGATATTTTCGACTTCTATGAAAATGAGGAAAAGTAAAACAAATGTATGCATGAAATTATCCGCTAACGTCATTATATTTCACTGTTACTATTGAGCGGGCACTGTGCTCAGTTCAACAACAGTATATAAGGAATTAACGGCAGGTCCACTTCGCTGTGCAACTTCGTTCGATTGTTCAATTAGCAGTTAGCCAGCTCAGCACTCCTATTCGTCAGAAAATGCAGTTTACTGGTTGCCACTCTGGTAATCACATCTGCAATATGATATGTGCGTGGCAAAGAAAACTTCAATGAAGTTTCCCTACCGAAGTGATACTGTTGTTTAATTGCCAGATCACTTGACGACCGAGACGTTCTACAAATGCACCTTGTGACAGAGATCTGCCATGCCCAAGTCAAAAGTAACCATCGATGTCGCTGAATGGTCCTTATGTCGCTCGATAATTACATCGCCTTGTTTTAATGCTAAATGCTCTTTAGACCTGTAAAATTTACTAACCCTCATCTCCCTCTTCCTCTTATCACCACATTTGTGCGAGTTAATTGACGCCATCTTTAATAGCGAGTTAAAGCAAATACAATCCTTAGTTTTATCCGTCATGTGAGTCCAGATTGCATTAAAAACACGTGCAGTATGATTAAAAACAAGTGAGACGCTTAGTACGAGAGTTCCACAAAAAGTCTCAACAACAAAATTATAAACTTGAGCATAATACTTAATAACCTTGACGAGAGTCCAGAACACTTTTTCCACAACAATGACGTATATCCCAAACATAGGGGTAAGCTTCAAAAACTGGATGACGTTAACCCATGACAACAAACACGTGACTGCACCAAATCCAATTTGTGTGGGAGCCAGATTATGACTGGAATGAAGCAAATACACAGTCACACAAATAATTTGGGCAAGTCTGTACCAATGATAAATGTCCCTGAAATATCTCAAACGCTCCGCAATAATCTATATGGTAAGAAAAAACAAAACAATACTTGAATAGAACTAATATTCTGGAATGTTTCCACCATCACTAAGAAGTAACAAAAAAATTTCATATCGATCCAGACGAAATTTTTGCAATGAATCACTCTATTTTAGCGAATGGTTGAATCGTGCCGACATGGTATAAAAGACGAAAGATAAAGAAAAAAACAATTCATCGTAGAAACGATACCAACAAAAAGAAATTGCATGCATATTTTTCGTCATTTTATGCATAATTTAATAACAAAACGTAACGTGGGAAGTTGGACGTTTTACGTAAGTTCAAGTTCTCGATGAACAACGAGATGTTTATGATTATAATGAGCAAGATACCAACCGCATAAAATAATCCTATAATATTTCGCAACTTGAATGTGCAGTATGGTTGTAAACTGCAGTCATGTACGCCAGACAGGGTGTGTGTTTGTGTTGGGACTCCCATCCCCTTTGCAAGGGGGGATTATTTCCTATTTGAGAATATTTTTTCTTAAAAAGAGCATTGCAGTGAATTGATTGAAACAATTTGACAATTAACTATTGGCATAAACTTGTCTTGTCTTGTCTTTTTTATCTACATTCGACGAGTCATTCGCAGAATATAATTGATAGAACTTAAATTACCACATCGAGAACATCAAAGTACGACAGAAAAATTCTGATTTGTTGTCTCATTGAGTGTTGTATAGTGCATAGTATATTGCAAATCGTTGATCTTCGAAATATATTTTTTATTTCTGTTTTAGTCAAATAGAGCTAGCATGAATGTAGTAATCCTTTAAAGTTGATCTTTCGAACAAAAACTTCAAAAATCCTATAATTTCCTTGATCAGTGTATTCGCTTTCAAAAATTCACTTTCAAATGCCCTTATGCCATATAGTTTCCCCCTCCTTGTCCTGTTGTTTGTCCGGCGTTCCTGACAGCAGTCCTACTCTCAGTAAAAGGCAACAGAATCCGTATCATGAGAAAATATCTACTTCCCCACAACACGTTCTATATGTATGAGTATTTCAATCAAACTAAAAATAACTGGGATTGCACAGATGACCGTTGGTAAGACTATTTGATAGTGTAGTTTTATCATGCCTTTGTTTCCTACATATTTTACCTGAATACTCTCTTTTATTGATGAAAAAAATGCTATTAGCAGCATAACAACTCGAAGAACCACCAAACCTGACGAATTGGGTGCTCGATTGTCCCGCTCCATTTCTGTAATCGTCATGTTTTTGCCTCCTGTCCCTATAAAGAAAAAAAATTGTATAAAGATAAGAAAGAAGCAAACGTTATTCATATTACGTCACAGTTATAGCTCTTAATTCTACCACTATGTGGTGTAAAATCTAGAGAACTCTTATACCTTTGCAGGATATTATGGAATGCTCTCTTATATGTTTAGCGTTTAGTGCTAATCCTGAAATACAGTAAAAAATTCCACGTACTTTTTGATTAGAAATTATTAAATACTCTTTGATTTATCAAAATTTATTTTATTCGTGTGGCATTTAATATACATTTTGTCTACACATGTGAATCGATGACTTTTTTTTACATTATAATTAAAATAACTGACAAAATGACCTAAAAATATTTATAAATATATTAGAAAAGTCTGAAGTTTCATTACATAGGTATATGCAAAGAACTTCTGAAAGACATATTAGCTATTAGCTATTACACTCAATTATCTCCAATGCTAAATAAAGACCGTGCAATAAAATATCAAAATAAACAACGAAAGTTTGTCACCCAACGTCTGCAAAAATTACAAAATTACAGGAGTGTACGTTGCAAAACATCAGAAAGAGTTTTATTCTGCGTGTAGAAAACATGGGTATGCCTTCAGCCAGTCAATTGCAAAGATTTTCGACTTCCTTCAAGAGAGGTTCACTTTTAAGTGCAACGTAATGCCCCATTGCAACAATTCTCAATATAAAATCAAATCAATTTAAATTATGCAAAATTGTTCAAAGCATTATAAAAATTCTGGATTTTGTTGGCCAATATCGACGCAACCTATCTGAAAGAAGCAATTTGCAAAAAGGAGGCAACCTGCAAAAAGGAGGCAACCTGAATGATGGACGCACCCTGCATGAAGAACGTAACCAGCATGAAGGGTGCAACAAACATGAAAGAATCGTTGAATAAAACATTTACTCACAGTGAGTTAATCTGCGTGAGTCGACCACGCCGACGACGAAGGAAGTATAAAGTAGGAGTGATATGTGGAAAATCAGAGTTAACAACAATATGGTAGCGACACATTTAAAACCACGTCTCCCCCACTTTACATCAACATATTTCTTTGAAACTGGATGGCGTAGGCAAATCTCGCAAGGTTCTATTGTCATTCGTTGTAAGGCTGCAAACCTCGGACCCGAACAGTTACGGTCTATTGATTATAAAGAACGCAATATACATCACGTGAGGTTATGTATGAACATTCAAATTGAAGGTAAACGTTATGTAAAGAAAAGATGGGAGAACTTGAAATGAACCTTTGTACTTAATGAACTGAACAATCTTACGTTCTCTTTAAATGTTAAATTGTGAAAAATTTGTGTTTGCATGTTCTTGTTGAAGGTTTCTTTCTTCGAATTAACAATGTACGTATGTACTAAAAACTGTATTTTATTCAATGCATTTTTACCTTTTGATTCAAGACAAAAGAAATCATAAATTGTGATGCAACCACCACTATCGCATTCTTTCGTTTCAATACATTTATCCAACAGCAACTTGGCCGTCTCTGGCATACCGGTGATCATAGCACACAGAGAGCTTTCTGGACCATTTTCGGACTCTTTCAAAATCTTTTAACGAGAAAAATTCACAAAAGTATGAGTAAAAGGGCTATTTTGAATAATATACTGCATTTTAGGTCTAAGGTATTTAACAAAACAAATCTTGCGTAAGTTGAAAGGCTAGAATCCATAATTTCTTTAAAAAAGAGTTGGAAGTTTTTCTTTGTTAATTCATTATCAATTCATCCCAATTACCAAAACGTATGTTGAGCATAACTACTTTATAAGATTGTTCTATTTTTGAATTAAAGCTTCATTGTCTCCGAAGCACTGCATTTTATCATTGTCCACAAAGGGAATAGATGTATTTGTCACAACTATTATTTCTAAAGACAAGTCAACTTGTATAACAAAAACTTCATTTAACAGACACAAAAATATCACCTTTTTCCAGTTGGATGTATTAAGAAAGCATTGCACAACATCAGGCAGATTACGTTGCAAAGCCCAATCAAATGCAGTAAAATTGGTTTTGTCTTTCAGAGCACAACTGGCTTTCATACCAAGTAAATACGAAACCACATTTGGAAAGCCATATTTAGCGGCAAGTATCAAAGGTGTTTGGGCAAGATAATCAACAACATCGATGCTATCAGGATGATCTTGCACAAGTAGCTGGACATTTTTTAGAATTCCTTTACTGCAGGCAATGTGCAGTGGTATCTGATCATTGGTGTCTCTGAATTGAATACATATTTCTTAATTATTATTTTGATTTCAACTAATATTTTGTCAATATTTTACATTTAGCTTAAAATTAGATTATACCATTCTATTCCTGAAAAGTAGTTATAACAGACACTTACATCAATGTAGAATCACATCCGTTCGATAACAAAAGTTCCAAGACATTAGATTGCTTAAATGCAGCTGCGTAATGAACTGGCGATTGAAGCATATTGTCAACAGCATTGACGAATTGAGGATCTTCCTTATGAAAATACGTAAGAACATATTTTACAACAAGGAGGGACTTTGATTTCACAGCTGAATGAAGTACAGATTCATTTCTTCTCGTCGTTCTCAACCACAGCAACGTATCGTCATATGTACAAAGCATTTCTAAAGACTGAAAACATGAAATGAAATTGTTTAAAGCTATCAAAATTGATACTCCACTTTGACAAGAAGTAAACGTAGAATTAAAGTAAATGTGAATAACAGCTCATTAAGATGCTTAGAATTTTCAATTCAACAAATAATAGATACTTGTGATACAATGTAATTAATTTTTAGCAGTGAGTTTGACCTACTTTCATGATGCAGTGTGTCTGCTATTACTTTCACTGATTGACATGTTGCGGACGATTTATCGTTGGCTTTCACTGACAAAAAGCATAGTACTGCTACTAATTTATACTGTACCGTGCAAGGAGTACAGTGTTAATTTTGAGTGAAAATTGATGAAACAGACGAGATACATGCACGTATTTTTTGCTAATATAGTTATAGCAAATCGCAAGATTTGATTTTTGATTTTTTGCAAAAAATCTTGCACCTCAATGATTCCCAGTACGGCTGCCCGATGGATTGGGAGCTCTCCTGCCTTGTCCGCTTGTCGTAAAGCTTCGCCAATGTCCATAGTCTGTAAAACAATGAGTTATTAAGTGAAAAAAGTAACAGGATCACCATGAGATTCAATACTCTAGTTGACTTGAACCATTTAAAACAATAAAAGAATCAAAAAAGAATTGTTCAAGGTTAGAAACTTTCACTAAAACTGCGATGCCATTTTTTAAGACTTCCGTTTCCTACCTACATTTTCAAATACTTTTAGAAGATCTTTTAATGTATTTGGCTTCGATACAGCATAATGAAAGGCATTTCTTTGAGAATCATCCCTCTCCATTATATTCAGCTCGATTAGTTCCCTCTCCTCAATAAATGTGGTTGTCGTTGGTGAACCACGTTGAACAGCTCTAAACATTACCATCAAAATCATGGTTACTTTTATTCTTTCATTTTGGTTTTTATATTTCTTTCGTATTTTTCTCAAACTTAGCGTCCAAGAAAAACCTAATACCAAATTTAATTTTTTTTATCAACTTAAATTGAAATCTTAGAAACATTTCTTCGACAATTTAATGCTGGGGCAAGTATATTGCACTGGAAGACCTTTCAAAAAATTCTTGCATTAAGGTCTGCAAAGAGCTTAATTTCACAGTTTAAAATTCAAAATTGAGAAAGCACCTTGCAAAAAACGACGTCTTTAAAAGAAAAGAAATGATAAACTTCAAACTACTTAGTGTTGTGCAGAATTCTGCTAGCTCTCAATACACAACTTGGATTTAAATTCATTTGATTAAAAATGTAAGAATATTTGCGGAAAGAGAACGACAGTTTTCCTTAATTTACCTTATAAAAGATTTAACTGGACCATCATAAGATCGAAGTGACGTTGTGAGACTTATTTTCTTTTTCTTAGAGGTTTTGTTGCTCTTCTTAGCTTCTTCGTTGTTGCCCTCAATACTCTTACTGGGCCTTTCCTGTTCGTTCTTCGACATGATTCCTATTTTTCTGCATATATGAAATATTCTACATGAAACAAGGTTGGAAAGGTAACGTTATAACAGAAAAGGTAAAAACACCGAAAAAAAAACAATTTGCAGTCTAAATCCAATTTTGAAAGAGTAATGAAATGCAGTCTTTGATCTAGAGAGCCAGCAGGGCCTCTTTTCTACCAATTAATGCCCTCTAACCAATTATACTTTGCCCACCTTCGGGAAGAACTTTTTCTCTATTTAAATCCAAACAAATTTCTTATACAGTTGAATAGGAATTCAAACAAATTAAAACTCGCACCAACAACTCAAGCGAAAGTTAGTGTTTAGCCAAAGAAGTTTCTCGCATCGCAAGGCAATCGAGGAAAAGAAATTTTTTATTTTTTCATACGAAACCTTGTTCCTTGTACAGCATTCTGTCCATCAAAATGTATTTCTGTGTAGACAAATTCATCATAGGCTTAACTTTATTAGTAAATCGATTTTTGTATTTATTTAAAAAAATTACAAGTACATTTAATAAGGATGTACAACAAAGCCCAATAGGTCATACAAAGCTGCTATCAATAAAAAAGTTATTCTTGACAATTTTAAGCAAATCACTTAACACCAGTTTCAGAAACTTTGTACAATTCTGAGAGCAAAAGGAAAAAACTATTTGGATATACAGTCCATAGATTATTAGGGAGCTTTAGCAGAGCCTACGAGTACGACTACGAGTACGATTTACGTCATTTTGGCGCGAAAACATTGTTGCGACAACAAAAACACGTAGCCGTCATCAATCTGAGTACGATGTTTTGTTTTGTTTTTCGTAGTCGCGACTACGATGTCTTTTTAAGCAAAGAAAGTAGGTATATTTCTTCATTCTGTAAGAAATTAGTTTACTGTTCTATTTTCGAGCATCCAGGCTTTAATTTAGAACCCTTTTTGAGCGCAGATGTACATTAAAAATGAAAATATGACCTGCAAAACTTTCATGTATTTCGTATGCAAAGCGAAAGGTAAACAAACAATAAAATAGTACAAATATATCCTTCCTTTTTACTTAAAATAGTGAAGATTTTTCAGTCTAAAGAGTCCTATATTCTCGCAAAACCAGTACTACCGATTCTTTGATATCATTATTGACAAATAGAGCCGTAGCTGCTTCGCAAACGTCGGTGTTTTACACAATAAAAAGGCTCGTTCTGTTGTTTACAACTGAAGCAAAATTTTGACGAAGCGATAACGACAACAAACTTCCTCGTGCCATTCTCTTACACGATTAAACTTTGTACTCGTTGTCGTAGTCGTACTCGTGCTAAAGCTCCCAAATGTCATTGTAATAACAGTAACGCAAACACTACTTCCAACAACAGTACACTTTAACGCTTTTGTTGGAATCCTTAGGACACAAATATTTTTAATTAAAGTAGAGGCAAATCTAAAAATTGTTTTGAAAATATAGCTGTTGCCATTGTGGATGGCCAAAATGACCTAATCATGCTAAAAAGAACTGTTTTACAACCAAAACACAAACCAAATAGTTTTAAAAAGAAGAACTATTTCGAAAACTTAGAAACGATGCAATTCAGCAGACTACCATCAGGTGTTAACGTCTGCTAAATGAGACTTCATCAGAGATCCTCTAAATTGTAATGGACTTTCTTTTAATATCAATCTTAGCATGCTTACATGCTCAACACTCTTGTAGACGTCTTTTAAATTCAGCGACGCTGTCCAAAAAGTTTTAGTGATTAATTTCGATGCAGAAAATATGCTGTCCATTCAAAAAAGAAAAAAAGGATGTACAGACTGAAATCAGTTTAACGTTTTGACATTTAACATTTACAATTCTTTTCTCGGGACACAGAAAATACTTGATAATAATTTATACTTTCTTATCTTCGACAATTAAATGCTCGGGCGAAAACATCGCACTGAAGACCTTTCTAAAAACTAGAAATGCCACTCTTTGACAGGAGTTCTTTTTATTTACCATTGGAAATGAGTTCATTGAGCGTGATTTACTTCGACTTACTATCCGTAATCTCACTTGGCATATAAGGATACAATTTTGTTTAACGGAAGTCAAAAGCCAGAAATGTGACTGCGTTGCTGCGGAAATACGATAAAGTAGATATTATAATGTTCAAGTATTTACGTCAATTGTCAAATCATAAATCATTCTGAGAGCCTTATTTCAGTATTCCGTCGTCGTTCCAGAAATTTTATCATGAATAACTTTATAGAAGAACGTGTAACTATTATCAACAAACAGAAATTTGATTGTTTCATTGAAAAGAGGCCAAAAAGCGCCAACTGAAATAGATAGGTACAAACGAAACTTTGACCTTATTGACCATACAGATCAAAACAACCCAATGTTGAAAGTTTGGCTTTTTACAATGTTGCCTGCAATTTGTGATAAAAATCAGTTCGACAAATAACGCTACAAAGTAAATAAGTTTTCTACATAATCAGCATTCGTAATTTTTCATTTCAAAAGGCCACTTTCTCACTTCAAGTCTCATAAATATCAACTGCCCAGTGGCATGACTAGAGTCTAGCTGGAGTCATATTAAATCAAACAGAAGTCAGGCTGTGTTGATTGTCCTGGGTGAGTCAAATAAATCTGTCCAACTCAACACACGAAACAAAAGCAGGAAAGAATTACGATAGATTTCACAGTCACAACATACTATAGCATATGTCACTCGATACAGGAGGTTATCGCTTCAATGTTATAAGCGCTAGCCTTCTTTATATACAGTATGAACTTATCAAATGTTTCTACTTTCTAGCTACAAAGTATTTCAAAGCCTTACCTTTGATGTTCAATTTTGGACAATTCTACAAAAGTCACAGTGGATAAGCAAATATCGTGTGAAATATTTGCTTTGACGAACAATGGTAGAATACAAGACTGAATATTTTTGTAATTTATCAGATTACAAAATAATTTATTCATGAACAGGAAAACTTAGAATTGAACGATTTTAAAAGTCTAATTAGCAATTTTTGTGTAATTTATTGAAGGCCGTGTTTCTCGTTTTCTGAAGTTCTACTAAAACTTGAAAATTCGATTAGGATTTATATTCAGAGGCGTAACTAGAACGTTAATTGGGGTTGCATATTCATATATTCCGTTGTGCCTTACTGATTCTTTTGAAAGTAATTTGACTTTAAAAAGAAGTCAGTAGGGCACAAATGAATATATATATATACATCCCACCCCAATTAACATTCTAGTTACGCCTCTGTTTATATGGTATGTTATGAATCATTCCATGGGTTGAAGTATATTAATGGATTTAATGCAAAGTTCTCTAACTTGTTAAACGCAGTCTGCTGGCGGTAAAGGTTCACAAACAAATATGAATTTAGAAAAAGCAAACAGCCCAGCGAATTCTACAACAATTCGAGGGAAGTGATGTGAAATTGACTGTTACAAAGTCCTAGTCGGTGGTACGGGAAGGGTTTCTTCTTTGCTTTAAAAATTATTCATTGTTTTGGTGAAATAAGCAACCCACACCCCAGTGTGCGACTTCGAAAGCGCAGGTGATAAGAAATAAAATATGAGACCATCTGTGAAAAAAAGTTAATTGCTTTGTTCACCTTATAAAAGATTTACCTGGATAATCATAAGATCGAAGTGACGTGATAACACTTATTTTCTTTTATTAGACGTTTTGTTGCCTTCCTTTGCTTCTTCGTTCACACTTTTGTTGTGCCCTTTCTGCTCATTGTTCGACATCTTTCTTTGTTTTGTTTTTGTCTGCAGAGTAGAAACATCTAAATGAAACAAAATTTTACTGATGACGTTACTATAAAAGAATTTATGAAAAACGGCAGACACCAAACAACAAGCATTCAATTTGTGCTTCACTTTGCTCACTTTGTTTCATTAAAAGCAGTGGAAGAATTTGTGAACAATGTTAAATATGTTCCTTGCTTGGAGATGCAGTATTATTGCCCCCCAGTATTATTACACATTTTATCAAAGGAAGTAAGGAACAATAGCGGGTCTCAAAAAAACTGCTCATGTTTAAAATCAGCCTGGTACAGTCACTGATTTTTTCAGGATGTCAAGGAACTGTTAAGAAAAAATTTTTTGCAAGCAATACACCTCAATAACATTTATCCAAGTAAAAACGCTTCCATGAGTTCCATCTCAATCCAATTTTTTTCAAAAACGTACAAGCTGTACGTCAAACAGCCCGTTATGACTGTCACAACTTTATCAACTTCAGGAAGGATGTATATATGTTGAGATTGATCATTTATAACTTTAAATATACGTAGGTAGACCTATGATGAAATTATTCAAACAAATTTTGACTTGTTTATAAAGGGACATTTCAACGTAGCTAATTTCACTCATCATCATTATGATGTCGTTTATTTATACTTGAAAGCTATATTTTACTTATCCTATTTTTTGCGTTCTATAGTAATTACATGGTTTATTTATTATCGTGTTCTATAAATAGAAGTATAGTACTGTTTGCTCATGCCTACACCCCAAGATTGTTGTTGGGCAACGCTCTTTTTGTTTATTTTTTCGGGAAAAAGCGTCCTGCACGCCGCAAGCACAACACCAGGGTTAGGACCCTGTGTGGAACACAGGTTTGTTGTATGAAAATTGGAGGATATCCAGTTTTTGTGTGTCAAGCTTGAGGGTAAAATATACCCAGGTTTGTTCAATGTATGCTGTCTAAATTAATGAAATGCGTCTGCTTGGTATTTTAAAATTTTCGTCATGCTCAGATTTATATGTTATGGAATTAATAGTACATAATTAGCAACTTTTTTAGCATTATCAACTTAAGAACCTTTCCCATTTTCTATGTGTGGACATTGGAAAATTTGCATCGCAGAAGGCAAAATTCAGCTGGCGCTGTGTCGCTAGATAGCTATGTTAAAAGAAAATATGGATAATATCAATATTTCGATATTTTACCGCTATCTTAAGATAATGCACGAAATGATGAAAGCAAAATACAAGGAAACAGCAAAGCAAAAGTCATTAATTTTTGTGCTTGCAATGTTAACTCAACTGTCTCCAAAGATTTGAACTGTATGAAGCGCTCTATTTAAACGCCATTTGGACTTGTACATGAGTGAGCTACAATAAATTCATTAATGCCAATTAACGACTAAAAAAACTTTAAAATATTTAGGAGTAACGTGTTAGTGGATTGAGGAAACAATTTCAGAAGAAAGACTTTTTGATAATGTATAGCTATTCTCCTCCCATGCCGGATGACAAAAACAAACATTATAGGCCAGTTGCACGAAGCCTGGATAGCGTTATCCATTAGACAGCAAAAATTTTCAAACTTGTAAAAAAGGTGTTTATATTTTTTTACGCCAAAGAAATTTTGTAATCTTCGAAACAATATTAAATTTCAGTTATTGCACAGTTCAAATCGTACATTTTTCACTTATAAGAGATTTTATGAACGTTCAGAAAAGTTTGCTATTCACTGGATAACGCTATCCAGGTTTCGTGCAACCGGCCCCTGCTAGAGAAACTTGGAAAACTGCCGAAAAGTTGAGACAACTAAATACGTGCTTATACAAGCAAATCATATGACCAATCTAAATTTCATATTTAGTTGTTTTGAATGTTCATCTTGTGACTTTTGATGAAGATCGTGTGTCAACCAATGATGCCAACAGGCACAGGCTCTGAAGGAATAGCATATTTTTTTAGGGAAAATGAAAAAAGCGTAGCCACTCCATGATTAGTTCTCAGTGCATCAGTTTTGGTTGCAAATTAGTTTACCAATTAGATTTTACAACTTTACGAATGAATTATGATTTACACTGACTTTACAAATGCAATGTATGCATTAAAATAAGCTATGTGTGCGGTAGTCTTTGAAGGAATTTGTATTTGTAGTTTGAAAGTCGTTAATAAATTATTTTAATTTTCATTGCAAGACCATTAAAAGCCATTAACAACTATTAGCATGTTGAAATATCGTTAAACCGAAAAAAACGATGTCGACAAACCAATATTTTAAAAACTTTTTAGATTTTTTGCATCCTTTTAGCCTAAAGATAAAAGCCTTTATAATTACGTTATTATTTAAAAAGGACGAGCATACAGCGAGTTTAAATTGTGGAACAGTTCTGTATAAATAGCTAAAACTGGCTTAAGTTGCTATAAGTATCATAAACATCCTGAAAAGCGAGACTCATTTACAGGGAGATAGCAAATAACTATCAATGGGAAAATGGGATCAGCAGTCACTGTAGTCAGCAATCAAGTCATGACAACATTCAACACTGGCCGTCACACCAAATATGATAAACCCTGTTTTTCTGCACCTCACCTCGCTGGCATTATTTAATCCTCGCCATAAAATTTCCTTAGATATTAAATAAAAGAGTTATGTTTCTCACAAGTCTAACAGACAGTGCAAGCACTGTTTCCTTCAACATTGTGGCAGCCATATTGTTAGTGAATGTTTTAAGAAATATATATATTTAGTCGTCTCTTGATGATGAACATTATTGCTCAACCTAAAGTTTCAGGTGGAAAATACCTGTGTGCCTATTTGATCTATTGTGCTTTATTCAACCATACACTCTCAACACGCTGAAAGACTTTACATTTCAAATGCAATATTTTGTCCTCAACAGTTATTGTGCTCCTCTTATGACTTTCTCGAGATATATAGATTATATTTAACTAAACGAGATGTACATAGATTACATTTACCCAAGTGGGGAATGACAGCCACAATCTGTTTTGCAAAAAAGCTACAAGTTCTTATACCGTTGTGCAAATTACCGTCAACTTTAGAAGATAATATAATTTCCATTTTGAGCTGCCAATCTGTTAACATATTAACATAATTAAGCATTTAACAGCTCTTAGTATGCAGATACATGATCGCAATTACTCCTCATTAGTAAACTTCTGTATCTTCTTGATGATACCCCTGATAAAGATAAAATTTCCTTGGCGTCACATGATGAAACAAAGCATCCTATAAAACGGTGGGCTAGGCCAATGATACTGTAAATACTGTTTAACTGAAGCAACTGTTTTCGACGAACCGTTTATTTTTTGCAAATAGACATGAAAGTTGGCAGCATTTTTCTGATTCTTCTTCTCCATGTAATTGGTAGGTCTATTGTAAGTAGGGTAGCCAGCCCTATTTAGAGATGTAGCTAAATATTTTTTCACGATAATGTATTGTTATAAGGAAATAAATACTTTTATTTAAAAGTTTTCATTCTTTAATCGTGTTAACTCCCTGCTAGTTTTGCTCACGTCTATATTATAGGAGTTTGCACTTTAAAACTATTGTTATTTTTTATGTTAAGAACATGTACGATCGCGCAACGAAGATTTGATGACTGAGTATAAAAGTCCAAGCAATCAGATGACTAGGATGGAAGAAAATTACATTTCTTCTTTTCCTAAAAACGAGGGAAGAGAGGGAATGCAGAACATCCGGCAAAAAAAGACAAACATCAAACCCTCGAAACAACAGAACATTTGGCATGAAGACAACGGAAATGACGATGTGAAGCTGAAACAGAAACGACAGAATGTTTGGCCACCTTATGGGCGAAAACGTTTTAATCATAATATTAGGGGTTATCACTGAGACATAAACAGCGAAAAATGCAATCATTTTAAGATATCGACAAATATGAATAAATAGTTGAATAAATAAACGTTCTTAAATCAAAGCAAAACTGCGAAATGCCATATTCCCTCACCGTATGAAATATTTGTTTGAAAGTCAAGACTAATGAGACTAAAACAATTGAGCGTTAAGTACATTGAAAGCAGCAATGCTGACTGGTGAAAGGAGTGTTTATTTAACATGGATAATTTTTTATTTAAGAGGTCTATATGCGTGCTTTTCAGTTAATTTTTAATGCACCAATAAACCAACATACAAGCAAAATTGCATGTTTTGTTGCCATTGAAGAGACCAACGTAAAAATTAAGCAGCTCGGCTGTTGATGCTGCAGCTGCGCGAGATGGCGTGTTTACTGAGCATGAAGTAATTTCCTCAGTTCAGTTGTGCACAAAACGGGTTTTAGAAACTTAGACAATGGAATGAACACAAGGCAAAAGGACACCAATTTGGATTGAAACCGGGAAGAAATTTTAACGAGTGGCAAAGTTCATAAAAATCATACCAAAGATAAGTTTGGGCCTTTATATACAGGCAGTAAAAAGGAACAGCTCAATGACACGAAAATAGGTTATAGGGTGTTTATTGGAAAAAGCTTTAATTACAGCTTTGCATCCGCTCGACGTGTTGTTTCTCAAATAAACCAATCTTTGACGTGAATGACACTCAACATTATCCAACTAGATAAAGCCAAAGCAGTTCTTTTTAAATGCCTGTGTATTATGTTGTCTTAAAGATGGCAACAATTAACCTAAAATCTACTCTGCTTGTCAAGCCAAGAGAAGAAATAATAACAAAAACTCTAAAAAAGCATGTTTGGTCACTAAGATGGAAAACATAGACACACTAAAGACTTTAAGAAATCAAATATTACGAGAAATTTTTAATTGAAGCATCAAGAGTTAATGCATGATCTTGACAAGATTTTGCATCACTCCTGATCTTGTAAAATTTAACTCATGCAAGATTTTGCAAGATATTAGGCAAGATCTTGACAAGATTTTGCATCACTCTTGATCTTGCAAAATTTAACTCATGCAAGATCTTGCAAGATATTAGGCATCATCTTGACAAGATTTTGCATCACTCCTGATCTTGCAAAATTTAACTCATGCAAGATCTTGCATAAGTAAAGTCTTGACAAGATCCTGTTCACGAATGAATTAAGGACTGCAAAATCGAATAATTGAAACATCACAATAGACAAATAAATGAATGCATGATCACGAATTTGAGTAGCTAATTGAAACACAATAGAGTTGATGAAACTAAAGATTTAAAATAAAATTTAAAGAATTAAAAAATGAAGGAGTTGAAACATTATGAATTAAAAAACTTTTCACAAACATAAAGAAGCGTATATAGCTACTGCCGAACAGCATTATTTTAAAAACTACCAAAACAAATGTCGACAGGTATACATATTGGTGTCGTCAGCTCGAGGATGAAGGGGCCATCACTCATTGCTTTTTACAATTCATGCATACACGATATCTATACACCACCCCCTTGCAATGCTGTTTGTTTGTCTCTTGTTTGTTAGATAATTATAATATACACCTAGTGTTACTAACACTGGTTACTAAACATAGGATCTCCTCATATGCTAATCACGTGATCATTGCACCTTAAACACATTCCATGCAGTTATTGAGCTGGCGACGCCACTCCAGAGATATCTAAGAAGAATAAACAACTAAATAATTGACGTCACGACAAAGAAGGAACACCGAACGAAAAACTGTTGAAAAACATTCATGCAACATGCTAGTCCAGGTAAAAGAAATATATTAAACTTAGTAACTAAGGATTTTAATCTATCTATTTATACGATCACAAACATACGTTTACTCTTTCCATTAAGTCATTATAATACTAGGCCAAATTCTCGTTATCTATACGGAGAATAGCTTTTAGTGGTAAAATTTATTTTTTATTGACATTCATTATCAACTTGCCCTTTTCTTTGACTCAATTCAGGACAATATAATTAGTGTAATAACAGGCAGTGTTTAATAAAGAATTTTTTTCATCAACTGATGGCTTTATACTTTCATCTACTTAACTCATTCACATTATTTAAAAAATTAACAGTTTCAAGAACTTTCACAAAAATATCTCTAAAAGTACATGTCGTATAGATATTCTAAACACATCTTTAGATAGCATATTAGGTACGCTTCAATTTTATGTGTGTACTGAAGAGTTATTGACAAGCTTAGATGTGAGTGCTAGCACGGAGATGAGTCTATCTATTTAATAGACAAGGCCATCTTTCAACCATACGGAGAGTGTTTAACTTTAATTTTATGCATTTAATACGCCACTCATCCTCCTTGTGAATGAAATATATGTTTACTCCACTATAACAATTCTATATTCTCGAGTTTCTCATGATCTGAACTTCGGAGCAAATCTATGATAATTACTATAATATTATTTTTGGAAGAATTTGTTGGCAACAGGTATGCTACAACATTTCAGTCCATGAATCCCGAAGGGTATCGACGCTACTACAGACCATTCGTTTTTCTCCGAGTCAAAACATTCCGTTTCGGATGTGCAAAGTGCATTGCGGTCGCAACCACCAACGATATAGACTTTATTGTTGTCAACTGCTATCCCAGCATCCCATCGTGCAGTGTTAGCGTCAGGGATCACATTCCACTCATCAAATTTGGGGATGTATACTTCTCCGGTATTTAAATGACGGGCACCATCCCAGCCACCTACGATGAAAAGAATAGCTAATCAGGACTAATCAGAAACTTTTTTGGCTATTCACGTGTAGAACGAAATTTTATGCAAGCACCACAGATTGATTCATCAAACACTGAATATAAATAGTAAAAAACAAATTGTTTCATTAACCATAGATTATTTCATTAAGTACTGAATACGCGTAAGCGAAAACGGGTAACATACGTACATAGAAAAGAGTCACTTTTTAACAAGTGGCTACAGTAGAGCCTAGATATCGGTGTTAACTACCAGTTGAATTGAAACTCCATTTACGAGGAAAGCAACAACTCACCGATGACATATATCTTTCCATTGCAAAAGGCTCCGCAGGCACTGGCACGCTTGGTCATTAATGACGCGACATTAAACCATGTGTCCGTGCTTGGATCGTACTTTTCCACTGAATCCAAGGACATTCCATAAAAATTGACGCCACCGATGACGTATAGAGAAGAAGATCCAACCACACATGCGCTACTGCGAGTCGACTTCATTGGACGAATCGCTGTCCAAGTGTCAGTCCCAGGGCAATATTTTTCGACTGTCTTTTGACGCACGTTATTTTCGTCGCATCCGCCAACAGCATACATGATACCTGAACACACTTATATTTAAGCTTATGCTATCACGAATGAGTTCTATCGCAAACAATAACTACTCTCGTCTTAGCAGACAGCTTAAGGAGAGTGATTTAATGATTTAGTATCCAGAGAAGCAATAGTCCGAACGTATTTTAGGGTTTCAATGAAAATGTGCCAAGTTAGGTAGGAAAATGTTACAGCACTGGTTTTTTTGTGTTAAAATGTTTTAGTTCAACATTATGTGTATGTAAAACTTACTTTAAAAATGTGTTAAATTAAGTAGCGGTTGACTTTTGTATTGCATTCAATGAAAAACACGTCCACGGTGTCTGTTGTAGCAAGAGAAGAACAATAAAGATGTTTGTTGGGGGATAAAATGATGCATCCCCACTAGCGAAAGTACGTGATAACAAAATTGATCTTCATGAATTTCATGGTTTCATATGAAGATTTACAAAATGTTCTTAATAGCAGATTGTCTGCAAGACGAGAGTAGTTGGGTAAATGGAAGGAAAAACTCGTGTAAAGTGAAGTGAAGAGAAACGTTATAGCTACGTACAGGATGTACCAAAAAATGTAGACTCTTGGAAAAAGTTTTCTAAAACAAAATGCTGGCGGACTAAGCAAAAACTTTAGGTTATTCGGTTATTCTAAGTACTTTAACGTTCTCTGGTAGAGCTAACAACAAAATTTTTAAAATTGCAAGATGTTTTGCCTGTGAAATATCTGCTGTTACTAGTCCTTCAAAACATGCCTTGCGCACAAAAAATATTTGTTTGAAAAACAATTTAATCACCCTGAGTCAAATAATATACTGTGTTGTAGCTACTTACCCTTTGATAGCTTGTACAACAAACTATATTTTGACTCAGGGCCATTGAATTTTTTTCGATGAGTATTTTAAGTGCGTATGGCCTGTTTTAAAGGATATTTAACAGAGGTTTTTTCAATGGTAAAAAATCTTGCCTTTACATTACCAGCTGTACCAGAGAACGTTAAAATACTTAGATTAACCAAACCTTTTTGCTCTGTCCGTGCCCGTCTTGTTTTAGAGAGCATTTTCTAAGAGTGTATGCATACCATCCAAGACAGCGACATTCAAGAGGCTCCTCTTTTTTAACATTGGTGAAACTGCTGCCCAAGTATTCAATTTAGGATCATAACGTTCCACATTGTTCAATGAGCTTTGGGCAGAGCCTTATAAAAAAAAGTAGTGAAATTCAATACCTACATATTGTAAGTTCATAATATCTAATCTCTTCACAGCAAAACAACAAAGGCAGGTATAGTGGCAGTTTATCAAAAGAAATCCTCAAGCCAAGTGCCAAGGCAACAATTCATTTTTCCAGCATTGTTCAATAGTCCAGTTGTTTGTTTGTAAGTCTATGTTGTGGGCAAAAGCTGTGTAATAAAGTACTCAATTAAATGATCAAAACATTCAAATGATCATGATAATCAGCAACATGTCACGTCAAGGCACTCAAGTTTTACAATTTACATAGAGGTTTCATTCAAGATATCATTTTTCCAAAGTTTCTTTTACATCCCAAGTTGTGATAGTCAATTTGTAGGCAGGAGGAGACATTAGTGGCAGAGAGTTAGTCCATAAAACTGAGAACAAAGCAAGTCCGTTTGGCAAAAATTTTGACATCATGGTCACAGAACATAAGCCTCCCACACAGTCTTTTAGGGATACACGCTCCTGATTGTAAAGGCACAAGATAAATGGCAGCACAAGTCATGCTAACAAATTAATAAATAATTTGTCAAACCTTCCTTGGATTGTCCACCAACTGCATATACAAAACCTCCCATAACAGCAAGACCATGACGGCATCTTGCAGTTGCCATTGGTGTGAGGTAGAACCATGTATTGCTGCCAGGAACAAAACAAAATGTGGAGTCTTTCACATGTCCTTTCTCAATCCCTCCAGCACCAACTATGACATACACCAAACCCATTGATTTCCTCAATCTAGACCGATAGTTGTCTAATAAGTGACGTCGATCAGGTAGAAGATGATAGTTTTTTGCCTCAAGCAAGAGGGAACTGCAACACTCTGTAGACGTAACAATCTTCTCCTTCTCAACATGGTCAGCAATATAATATGGTGACATCAAAGGGAATCGAACCCAACACAGTAAATTTTCTAAATGCTTTTTACGCATATCTCGCTCCTCCTCCGAACCTTCAACCCAAATCAAAAGTGCTTCATATATTTCCTCCTCTTTGGACACATTAGTATCATCATTCGCCAACAGTTCAAGAAGGCGTTCGCTTGTCAACGATATGAACTCCTTGCTACGAGACACTTCGACAAAATTATCAAGCACGTATTGCTGAGCTGCTTTCGTCAAACTATCACAACCAAATTGCTCAGCAATCGATTCGATCCCCAAGCAATTGGAAGGACTCAAGTTTTTTTGTAAATATTGACAGCAAGTCTCTTTTAAGTTGTCCATCAAAAAGTAGTTCGCTGCCGCTACAATATCTTTCACATTTGTGACCGTAATAAGTATCTGACCCGTGTATATAAAGGACAAGACCTGCTCCATTATTTCAAAAGTTATGTCGTTTAAAATGACTGGCTTGCTTTCCAAAGTCTCTTTCATCTGAGACGTAGAAAACATGCCATAGAAATATGGACTACAAGCAGCTAGAACAATCCTATGGCAATGAATTTCTTTCTGCTCTACAAGAAGTATAAGATCACATAGTGTTCTGTCGCCTCGAAATCGATTGAATTCGTTTAGAAGAGCCAGAGGATGATTTTCCTCCATACAATACTGATCTTCCATCTTTGATAAATTTGATGACAAACATATTTGGTGGAGTGGTTCCATTTACGACCACGATAAACAGGTGGAAGGGGATTATCGTGATTGGCTAATGCAGAATAAGTACATAAAGAAGAAATTTTGATGTATGAAAAAAGGCCAGTTAGCACAACAATTGAAATGAATTGACCAGCACGTGTTAGATCATTCACTTTACTAAATATACAACTGATGTTCATTTTTCTATCGCTTGTCGAAACCATCAAGAAATTCAGAAGAAGAAAATGTCCATTGAAATTGCGTTGACAACAGACAGCAGTTTCGAAAGCGCATGCGTTTTGTGCTGGGAAACGTCAAGTTGGATGCAATTAAGGGCTTATAAGCAAGGAGTTTGCCCAAGAAATTGCTTGACTATGTTATTCAATAGTTTTATAGTTGCTTCGCAAGTAAATAAGCCTTTCTTGCACGTCTGGGATGTTAGTAAGGTACGTTAGCCCTGTATTGAACAAGGTTTGATTGATGACAGCTAACACCAGTTTAATAACACAACACAACACCACCGACCCAACCCTTCCAGACACCCATTTATTATAGTGTATTTACATGTAACGTCAACATATCAGTTATAGGGCTGGTTGTCAAAGGCTAGAAATATAAGGCAGTTCGCCTGTCTAAATTCAACCACAAATGAATTGCTCACACCAATCACACTGCCACCTTAAATCTATGAGTATTTCATAATTGGTTAAAATGTCAGATGATGGTGTTTGCTGTCTATTTGTCAAGAATTTTTGTGACTATTGAGGAATGGGAAGTTTAACTTATAAATGGTGAACCTATATTTATACATCATTTTCAGGAGCAAATGCATCGCAAGATGACCTCTCCAGCAAATATAACCGCTTTGGCATTTTCTCCTAGTGGTGCATATTGTGCTGCAGCCAGCTCTGAAACAATCTATATCTGGCAGGTGACTACCAAGTTATTTTGCTTTCTGTATGTAGGATCATCTGTGTGGCAATATCCATCATGTATACATAGGTTACTACAGGAAATCTGTTAGGCATGCTCTCAAGACATTTTCAGCCAATCACCTGCTTGAAGTTCACAGATGATGGCTCTTATCTTATTTCGGGTGCTGATGATAATCTAGTCTCAATATGGTCTTTAGTTAGGTAAGCAATTTTTTCATGCATTCCTTTTAGATAGAGATACACAAAGCTTTATGAAAGTTCTTCTATATTGGTAGCAAGCATATGCAGTATACATGGGATATTCATTTACATGCATGCACATGTACCCTTTATCTCTTCGGAAATTTGGTTATACGTCACACAATTTTGACCATTTACAGCATATTACATGTTTGTAATATGCTGTAAATGGTGCCGGGTTCAAACCATTTACTTTATTACAGCATATTACCAACTGGTGTTTTGGAAGTGGAAAATATCACCCCTAAATATACTTGGTCTGAACATTCTTTACCAATTACATCCATTCATGTGGGTAGAGGAGGAAAACATGCGAATGTGGTAACTTCATCTCTTGATCACACTTGCAAGGTAGAACAACATTAGGATTGTTTTGTTAGTCTGAAAAACTATTGAAAGTCAGCAATTTGATCATTGTTGGAATTTTTGCTACTTGTTTTTCATGGTTTGCCCTCAAGCTTGTCACATTTTAATGTTGGGCATGTTCAGTTATAATTTCATGTATTTATCTCATATACTTAAGTTGATAATTAAAACAAATATGATGATTATTTTCCAGCTTTGGAGTCTTTCCAGTGGTAAACTTCTTCGTTCATTCACTTTTGATGTTGCCATCTTGTCTGTGATCATGGATGCTGCAGAATATAGACTGTTTGCAGGAGGATTTAATGGCAAAATCTATGCCACCAATTTATTTTCCCAAGTATGTTTGAGAATGTTTTTCAATATACATAGTGTACTATGAGCAGTTCTGTTGCTATGGGAGGCCTGGGAAGGGGGCAGTGCTCCCAAATATTTTTTTGTTCCATGCAAAGGTTCCCCCCTTTTTGATTTTATGACTTTTTGCAACATAGCACTTGAAATTAAGTCGAAACTGAAATTAATCATTTTTTGTTAAAAATTGGCATATTGTGCAAGTGATTTGATAATTGATACTGGATATGTTCACTATGATAGGTGATAACATTTATATTAATGTTGTGATTTACTTTTGAAAAATATCATACTGCAGAGGTGAGCTTTTACTACGTTCAATTTTCTATTCCATCGCCATAGCACATATTTTAGTGTGCCCGCCCTTTCAAAAATTGTCCTTTAGCTTGTTTACTCTGCCCCCCACCACAAGTAAACTACTGCTGATGCCACTAACGTAACATTACTTTACCATATTTTAAATGCATAATGCTACCAGCAACAATATTTAAGCACTTAGGAAATAGAGTGAGGAAGTACATCAGAATTTTCGCGTCCCACAAAAAAACTGGTCGCTACTTCTTTTATCCAATTCAGGCATTCGTTAGAGCTGGTCTAAGTGAACATAATGAAACACAATGTTTCGTTGGCCACAGGTATGAAACTTGATTAAATAAAATGCTAGATTATTTCATATTCAAAAAACTATTACATCGATTACCTATGAACATGAGCATCGATTTATCCTTGTTGCAAAAGCATGCAAGTTACAAGTATTTCCGTGTCAATGGATGGCCTAACACTGCTGTCAGGGTCAAAGGATTGTACTGCTAGAGTTTGGGATGTACCCAGTCGACAATGTCTACGTGTCTTACAACACAGAGGTTTGTAAATATGTAATCGTATATCTACTCACTTCAGTATTCTGATATACAATCACAGAAATTTTGCCTAGAGATTGTGATTCGTAGATAATTGAAAGGAATGACGAAAACACCGATACATACGTAGGGTATTAATCATGGTTCACGGAGTACCTAGTAATTGTTCATGCTTGCATGGTCCACGCTTTTAATTTATTGTTAGTGCTTTCGTGCACCACTAACATTCGAAAGTCTCTGCCATGAAAGCTTGGCAGAAGAAAAAAAACATCATTTGAAAATTTCTGATGAAGTTGGGCCCGTGTAACAAAACCAACATAAACATAAACATATATGCCTTTTTTTAAGGCAGCGTGGAGAATGTGCAAATCCGTCCTCGACATCGAAATTTTGACGTAAAATTGACGAAAACGAGCCTCCCAATTTTGGGTTCATTCAAGCGTTGTTTACACGACTCAAGTTCTGTACAGGACAATGTTCCTGTTAGATTAAACTCTTTTAAGGTAAGAGGGGATATTGTAAATAGACACACAAGATGTTTGTCGTCTAGTGCGTACTATGGGATGATAATTATCAGCTAAAATTTTTGTAAAATTTTGTGTTTAGCGGTTTGTTGAATGTAGTAAGGATGGCGTTTCCGCGCTATACTTCCCCAAAACTAAGTGATTCCAAAGGGTTTTAATTGAGACGCGTTTCCTCTATGCATGAAGTCGCAGGACAAAAGCACACCCGATGTCATGAATTATGAGATTTAAAGATACTCTAAACGACGTGTGACTATTACGCCTTCAATTTATACGTAAGAATGAATAATGAAGTATCTTAAAACCGATTCAGGCTTTGAAAAGATTGGAAAACAATGAACGGGACCTGTGTGACAACATGATAAAAGAGGTGGGTGCTTTGAATAACAACTGTTTCAATCGTTTTTCTTTTGCAGTTATTCACAGCTTACACAGCCTTTTATCTGTTTTAGCACTGTGATGATCATGATCACGAAGGCGGAAAGAAAAACTTGAGTAAAACTCAACTAAAAGAGCAATTGGAGACTGCGCAAAAACTAAACAAAAGTTTGTACAAATTTGCAACTGAAGAATTACTTTCCGACGTTCGATTGCAGACAAATGTCCATCAATTATGAGACGGCGTTCTTATTCACATTGCATTGGACTTAGTTTTTAAATAAAAGTACCCCCCCCCTTCTTACCCAAAAACCTGCTTTCTGCATATAGTTATATTCGGGCACAAATTTCAACGCCATCTCAAAGCAAATTTGGAAAAACAAGGTGGAAACTTCACAACGCTTTTTTTCTTGAGTTGCGTTGCACACTTTCCCAAATTTGTTGCTGAATCGAAAATGCTACAGCCATTTGCAATTGACGCGTCGTCGTGCATAAATTAAACGTTTGCTATAGTTTCAAAAATTGACGTTACTAACGTCTAACTTAATGTCACAATACAGCTATCTGATTGTTGCTAAGGACCAATGGTTAACAACAAATGTTGCTCTCCGAGTCTACGAAAAACACACACTATGTCTCGCCAATATCAATTTAAAGTTTTATACTAACGATAGAGTTTAATGTTTTCAAATGTCTTTCCATACTTGCTACATTTCAACATGTCACGTTTGTTTATTAAATAAAAACAACATTTTCCATAGCTTAACGCGTGTACGCCTCAGCAACAATGACTTAGATTTAGACGTAACGTCAAGTTTTGAAACTATAACAAACGTTTAATTTATGGACGCCACACGGTCAATTGCAAATGGCTGTAAAACACTTCGATAAGCATATCACTGGCTACTTTCTTGTACGTAACCTGTTGTATTTGTAGGCTTGTTTACGTAACCTGCTTCTGAATTCGTAATGAACGCAAAAAAATAATATTGTCATTTTCATGAACCATGTTCAAGCCACCCCTCCCCCCCCGTGTAACAAGTTTCCTAAGGTACAAAACAAATCTTTTTTGAGTATTATGGCAGTCAACTATTCATAGATGGCAAAAAAAGTTCATTGCTTAATTCGCCAGCCTACATTAGTATAGGTAAACGCATTGTTCACCTTTCAATAAACCGATTGTGATTGTCATTTTGATTTTCGAAGTTCTTCACGTAGTACGCAATTGGTAATCTAAAATTCAATTCGAATTATTAAAATTAACATCTCCCACTGATGTCGTCATCTGTTAAACCCATTATACGTAGTCCCATATCGCCCCCATCTAACCCACCAAGGAGGAAGGACAACTATAAAACCTGATGTTTCATTGCAACTATCAGATTTTGTGAAGCACTCGAGACCGATAGAAATTAAAAATGGAAAACTTTTGCAACATTTTTCTAATGATGAAAGTGTATTGCTCACCTCCATTTTGTGTAATATAGCGCACCCATGGCAGGGCTTGATAGCCACTCTTTTCGATAATTTTGAGGTATCGAACCTTAAAAGATTCAAAATAGGAAGACCATAAAAACAATACTGCAATTCTTATTTCTCTCACATCATGTCTCATGGAATCAACATTTTGCGGGTAAAATATACGAATAAGCGAACCAGAATACACTTCATTTTTCTATAGTTCATCCTATAGGTGAATTTCAACCATTCCCCAAAGAGTCAAAAGACAAAGAGATATACGCCGCGTTGGTTGAAATTTGAATTGCAAATAAAAAAAATATTCTTTGTTAAATTCAACCAACATGGCAACCGTGATGTAACATGCAAACCATCTATAGTTAGACGAATTATGTAATTATTTTTTTCTGACGAACTAGAGACTGTTGTATTGCTTTTGTATTACAATCGGAAACGTACTAATAATCAAACATGTAGCAGATATAAACTAACCCATGCTTAAGACATTAGAAACAAAACATATCTACGAAGTTAAGACGGGATCATAAAAAATAAATTTCACACGATAATTCATATTTGTTAAGTTTGTATGTACATGGGCAGGTGTATATAAACCAACGCTAATGGGAACAATTCCTTTGAACTGCTCATTGCTGTAATTACCTGTATTCCAGATACGGTAAAGTAGGGAATTTCAAATTTCACTTTGATTGGTGGGTTACCCTGCGACTCCTCTGAAAACACACACATGCTATCGTTAAAAATTACTGTAGTTATAATGCAAATGTGTGGTGGGGGGAGCCCAAATTTGCCAGAGTGTCGATCAAAATACAAGTGTTGTCACTCAGTCATTTTCGCAATAAATAAATCAGTACCAGCTTCAACACTTGGCAGTCCAAAATGCGCTCGCATCAAGTATTCTTTTCCACCCTAAAATGCAAAACGAAATGTTAAACTCTTTTTAGTGTCGGCTCGAAGGAATACAAATCCGTCGTTGAGCTTGATATTGATCAGAACTCCGAAACCTCAACCACAAAAATTGGAGCGTGGACATGTGAAAAAGGCTGGAGCGTAGAGATGTGCGATGGTGAGTGGAGCGTAGAGATGTGAGAAAGAGACTGGACCGTTGAGATGTTAATGAGAGACTGGAGCGAAGAGATGTGAGAGAGAAACTGGAGCGTAGAGATGCGAGAGAGAAACTGGAGCTTAAAGATGTGAGAGAGACTGTGAGAGAGAAACTGAGCAAGAGAGAGAGAGACTGAGAAAGATGTGAGAGAGAAATTGGAGCGTAGAGATGTGAGAGAGAAACTGGAGCGTAAAGATATGAGAGAGAAACTGGAGCGTAGAGATGTGAGAGAGAAACTGGAGCGTAGAGATGTGAGAGAGAGACTGGAGCGTAGAGATGTGCTTGTGAGGGTGTTGCGAAACAACAGCGTGATGAAACTTAAGTTAGCACTTCTCTCGATAAAACAGGACAGCAATCCCAATGCTTCACTTACTGGAAATGATTTAATGTTCCATAAGATGATGTTAGTTTCGGGAGCATACTTAACAGTTCCAACTGTTGTCTACAAAAAACATTGATTTGAAGAGAATGATCGAACACAATCAAATGAGCAGACAGCAGACATTTAAACTTTTTTATGGTAAACTTAGTACAATTGACGAAAAAATGAATATAATAACAATCATGTTCATAAATGCTCTTTACTTCAATGTCATTTAAATCACATCGAATGACCAACACGTACCAGCTCAAAGATCAAATCTACGTTTGCATCAATCAATATATACGTATAATATCAAACGAAACGTTTTATAGTATTGTTTCAGTAGTAAAGAAGAGAAAAAATGGAGACGTGGGGATCATTAATAAGTATCTAAGTTAATAGGCCACAATTCTTTATCGCTCCGTTACTATACCAGACCCAATTTGTACATAAACAATCAGACACAAATGTATCGATGAGTTTTTAGCAGCATGTCTGCATCACATGCATAAATCCTCAAAGTCATGAAAATCAGCGGTTTTTGCGTTACATGCGTGATCCAGGTTTTACAACGAACACAAGAATAAATTCGAATAATTATCTAACGAAACTTTTAGCAGATTTTTCACGAGGAAAAGTAGGTCGAAAAATGTACGAATGCAGAGACAATTTCCACTCGTCATCTTAAAAAGTCAAACCTTACTAGCCTCTTCACTAATGTTGTCTTGTAAATTTTAATCGAGTTTACCTTAAACTTTGGCGAGTCTGCATCGGCTGGCACTGGAATTTGAATTTCGACATTGTTTGCCGTGGAACGTCGCTTGAATTGACTTTTGGCCTAAATGAATGAATGTACGTAAGAACGATATACAAGGTTAGAAAATAAGAAAGTGCTAAGACATGAAATACACAGTAAAAGCATATACGTGTTATTTACTGTTTTCATTACGGTCATGTAACATACAATCGTTTTTACCGTATTATTCATCGCAGACTCGTGTGTTAAGCTAACTTTAATACTCACTTTGATCATGTACTCCACTCGACTATGGGAGTGCTTTTCGATGACAGATTCAATCCAAATCAGAGGCTTCACCTTAAAATACATAATATCGAAAGGTTAACGCATCGTGCAAATAGAAATAGGTTTTTCCCACCACTGAGCCATGGTATGTAGTTTATATGCTATTGAAGTGCGTATTTAAGTGAAAAATCTTTGGATGCAGTTACCGGCATCAGTATTTTGTACTGAAAAAGCTTATGTACACATTGTTTCAATCGAGCACAAAATGTAGTTAAACCGTATAAAAACACGTCAAACGAACCCTACAAACAAACTTACATGTGTGTTGAGACGATAAGACATCAACTCGAATTCTCCGTCAGGTGGAATGAAGGAAATGGTTCGATCATTATCAAATCTGGACAATCGAACACACTGATGAAATTTGACATCCTCAAGTTCAACAGCCTTACTTTTACCTCCTAAAAACATAGACTTGATAAGCACAACTGGACTGGAGAGAATCGTCCGTTTAGTACGTATGCAAAGAAAGGGGTGGTGGGGTATGATCCATGTGTACAATTGTGTACAACACAGAGGGGGTTGGGAGCTAATATATTGTTTCGTGCGAATGATATTTTGGAATAAAATTTTGATGCCCAGTAAGTATACTATACATACATGTTAGGCATAACAATGGTTTCACCTGCACCAGAAATTATGAAGGTTAGCATCAATTGATCATTGGTTGTAAATATAAAAATCTATTTCCGGCGGAGGTTAGAGTTTACTCTGGTCGACTGTAAGATACGTACACATCTGAAGCTGAGAAGTACATTTGCGTACGAAGGGGAAAAGAGGATTGTCAAATATTGTACATTTCTCTAAAAGTGAAGGGGATAGATGTTCAAATTCTGAAAATTTAGAGTACAACGTAGCAAATGGACGACCTCGAAACCAATTTACAAGAAAAGGACGCAACTGACCAATCGCAGAACTTCTTAGTGAAAGGATTTTAATAGACGATAGCGGCTCCTATCGAAGCATTTGGCCAAAAGTGAAGAAAATGCATAAACAACAAAGTACCAAACGCCAGAAAGATTGAATAAATTTTTTGTTATTGCCTTATGTCTATCATTTAAAACAGCGACAATTTTCAACGCGAAAGCGAATTTTTCATGTAGAAACAAATGAACATGAAAGCAATCAAAATTGTATTAGAACTAAGCAATGATATCGTAAAAGCTTAGACAACTTACTTCCGGTGTTTTCAAACAGCACTTTGTCATTGAGACCAAGTCTTAGTTCTGGCATTCCCGAAAGATAGCATCTAAGCTTTACTGCGCCTATTATTTCACTCTGAAGGACATTACCGTTTGAATTTACCTAAAGCAAGAAAACCTCAATGTCAGCAGAACTAACATATTACCAACCATATCAAAAACATTCGAATCTTTGCACGAAAAACAAATTTTTTATTTCGTCAACTACTAAACACGCGTTCTACGTTTGTAAGAGTTTGGTAAATTACGAAAGAAATAATTCGATAATTTAATTGCAAATATTTACCAGTAAATTAACAGATTCAACAACATCCAAAAACACTTCATTTTTTCTGTACTTGATTCCTTGTCCTCTCCAAGACACCGCATTGGTTAATGCCTCAGGCGGACGAGGAGCCACCTCAAGCTTATGCCCTTCTTGAGTGATATATCTAAAGAGAAAACAGAACAGGCTAGAACTGCTTTCACTCCGTGAGGTATGATGAACATAAACGAATGTTAGGTGAATATAAGCACAGTATAATTTACAAAATTTAGACTATAGAAGTGGTAACTTAGTTGAAATACAAAAACATACTCGCAAACAGTCTAAAATATTATATCGTTTTACGTATTCCTTGCAAGGTAATCAGCTTTAAATGACAGGATTAGCATGCGCAAAAAAATTCTGTATCTATGATTATTATTTAACGCTGAATCAGGTCGGCTGAGCTGGAAACATACTCCTGTAATATCTTGCTCTCAGTGAACTGAGGATAGCCAAAATCCATAAGTTCATCCATAAGCTCGTATATGATAACGAAATTATCTCTGATACTTTCTTCCTCCATCTCTTTAAAGTACTCCATAAATACCTAAAATGCATGGAAACCCCCCATTAAAAACCTTTACTTACCAGCAGAGGCGTAACTAGAACGTTAATCGTGGTGGGGGTGCATATGTTTTGCCCTACTGATTTCTTTTGAAAGTGAATTTAATTTCAAAAAATGTCAGTAGGGCACATGTGAATATATGAACATACCCCCCCCGATTAACGTTCTAGTTACGCCTCTGCTAACCAGCAGAGAATGTAATAAAGTACAAGAAAGACATCCTACGAAAAATAACATTTCGTTAACACAAGATACGAGCTTTTGTAAAAACAAGACTATAATTTACGGTGTATTTAAAAAAGCTCATATTTTGAGTTTACAAAACCTCTAAAAGCAAATTAAAATGGGAATATCTCTCATGTGAGTGTTCCAGTAGAAATGCTTAGTACAACAAATGCAGTAAGATAACAAATATTCTTCTACTCTATACAAGCAACAACTGATTTCAAGGACAAACCTTCACCAGCTTGTGCAAGAAGGAAAAAATTAAAGCAACGTTCGCGTTCTTCTTCGTTGTGGCAACAACTGCAAACAGATATTGAAAAATACAAACTTTCCAATTGAGGTATTTTACTTGGCAATTGGGGTACGATGGATTAATAGAAAGATTTGAAACACATGCTATGCAGAAACACAACATTTTGCAGGTATTCCTGAGCTTTAGCTAATACTGAAGGGAATCTAATGAGTAGTTTTGAAAAATTCAAAAGGAATGTTGTTACGCGCATTCTGCAACTCTGAGATTTCTCGCTGATTTTCTCTGTTTCTTACGTATCCCACGATCTAAGGGATTCAATATTCGTTCAATTATGTTCACACGAGGACTCTGAGATAATACTCCATCAATTCCCAAAGCTCATAAGGTTTCTCTTCGTCCTCATTGTTTGCTGTGAGCTTAGGATCATTACCATGTAAATGAATTCTTCAGCATTTGCCGAAGTCCAGGAAGTATTTATAGTCCACCATGATTTACCGTTGTTGAAAGAACATCATGGTCTTAAGTCGTTGCACGTGCTAGAGTATTTTGACTGGTCAATACACAAAACAATTTTGATCATAATCTTCGTTCTTATGTATTGATTATATGTTAGTTGCTTGTACTTCATAAACAGTGCTTTTCTAGAGTTGCCAGTTCTGCAGTCAAAGTCTGGTGGGACATTTTCAAATATTTCAATGATGTTAATTTTGTTTCTTCAAAAATTTCTCTGTCAGCCATTGTTTGCTACATCTTTCCCATTGCCCCCTTCTTGGTATATCTCACTTCTAACATACACTGTTCTCAGCCGAACACTTTTAAAGCCGATTTGTTACACAAAAATGCATTCGAATTTCATACAGCAAATTTTTTAGACAATAAAAAATATTTCTTTTAAAATAAAACACAAAATATTATGAAGCAGTTAAGGGAGGGGCTTGGGCTCAGGAAAAGTGATAGATTAAACTTCATTTCAAACAAAACCTAGACAATTCAGCCACATTGAAAAAGAACTCAACTTACTGTAAAGATTATTGTGTTTAATGTAAGTGAATGTGGCACTCTCATGAATTATAATGGGCGAAGAGTTGCCCTCATCTTCACGATCCAAGACCAATGGAAAAAACTTTTCAACAACAGACATTTCTAAATCACCACGGTAGTTTCTTGAAATCAAAACCTAAAAGAAAATAAAAAATGACAGCTTCTCAATCGGGAAGAAAAAGAATTTCTAAAAATTAGTTTTTCATATTTGTTTTCTGATTCTTCATTTTATCAATTTTGTCAAATTAAAAAGTGCAGTTACACATAGTCTTAAAGAAAAAACTATAACAGCATGTACACACAAATTGCCAGTCCATACTTAGTTCTATGTGGTATTTCTAGTCCATTATAACACATGTTTAAAATGGTAAAGAGAAATGAACATTTTTTGTGGCATACCAAAAAATCTATTAGATTTCCTTAATACTTTTTACAAGTTTTATCTGAACCTCAATGGAAATTTTGATTTAATTTAAGTATAAGTATCTCAGTAGCAGTGATGTGTTTTTGTGATGTGAATGGGCTTTCCTCCAGGTTGGAAAATTTGTAACTCCTCATAGCTGCACAATTTAAAGCTCCACATTAAACCATAAATCTTCTTCATTCACACTTACCACATGATCTCCCTGATGCTCTTATGCTAAACTGCACAGCAGAACTTAAATCTCAAACTTGAAATGATATATTTGGAGGAAATTGAAGAGATATATAATTAGACTTGGGTGAGAAACCTTCAACACTATTAATAATAGTAATACTATCAATGTACTTTACTACAGAATGTGCCATTAACAGAAGTGAATTTATAGGTATGACATCAAGATGCATGAATTGTCATTATTTTTTCGCATATGATATCATGTAAAAAAGGCAAGCTTTGGCAATAATTCTGCACTTTCATATTAAAAATTATTCCATATGTATATTATCATTAGACAAAGCCTTCTTCGCAAAGTCCGTACCTTTCCTTTTACATCTAAGATAAAAACTGCTGACATCGACATGATCACAAAGTATCTATATTCCTAATATCGTTGCTTTTTATTTTATTGCTAAAGATTTCATAAACTGAATAAACTAGAGAGTTGGCAATTTCATACAGGAAATCAAAGATAAAGGAAAATATACTTGGGAGTTGGTGTTTCCATTTCTCTACACGCCGTTTCCAGCCGTTTCTCTGAATACGAAGATTTCATTTGTCATGCCCTGTATTTTGGAAAGAACATGGAATTGGAAAGAAATCAAAGCAGACATGTAACTAGTAACAATACATCTAATAAAAATGTCTATGTTCCAGATTATCTCATTTTCATACATTGTTCGTTAGTTACTGTTATAAACTAAATGGAAGTGATACGAATTTCAGGTTAGTGTTTTGAATAAATTCTTACCATTTCATCTAACCATTTCTTTTCACTATAAAGCTTCACTACAAAACTGATTCAAGTTTTACAAAGTACTAATTCTACGTTTTATACTGACTTCACCATATTTTAGTCCAGAATCCAGATGTCCATGTAGATCAATGTCCACCAATATGGAGGACTGACTGTTGCTGTATGGTTGTTGTTTACGCTTAGCAACGCTATTTTCATTCGGATTTGAGTCTTTTAACACTTAAAAATTCAACTAAAAGAATGCTGTGATGCATAAAACATGTCAAGGAATTATTCAAGGAGTACAGCAGACGAAAATATCAAGGACAAAGTGCGAAGAATGAAAGAAAAACAAAAACAATGGATGGATGAACGCGAATCTGCTAAACAAAAACAAACAAAATCAAATGGCTTAAAAAACTCTCTTTACTTGAATTCAAGCATATCTGGTTCAAAAAGAATAGAGGGCAAAGTCACTCCAACTCGGTCTAATAGCTTAACATGGATTTCAAAAGACAATTATCATAGTTCCAGCAAGAAATCTGTTGGCAATCGACAATCGGATCGAAAGTCAATTTCATCAAAACAGTTTAACAATAAACATGATAATAAAAGTTCGCCAATCAATGAATTCAATAAATCTGCATCGAGTGTCACAGGTTTCGATGATGGCTTTCAGAAGTCTACCAGAACACCAAGTTCACCCATTAGACAACCAAATGCGATAACATATAGCATGAACAATTCCAACAAAGGGTCATTTGATAGCCTTGCCGATGAAGTGGGTGAAAAATTACAATTGATAGAAAAGGAAAGACTGTTATCTAAAGAAACTGATCTTTCAGGAAATAAGAATAAGAAACTTATGTCAAACCATATATGTGCCAGTTGTGACAACCTCATGGCATCGGCTCATTTGCCTATGGCCATTGTCCCATGTGGACATACATTCTGCAAAGTTTGTGCAACAGAATTTTCAAAATGTCCACAATGCCACACAGAGGTGTTCTCAATAGCTCCAAACACTGTGTTGCAACAAATTATTGAGGATTTCAGAAAGAAACAGGAAAAAGAGAGACTACAGCAGCTGGAAAAGCAAACGAGGAAATATGTTGAAGAATATCAGAATTTGAATTTAAGATGTGAAGCCCTGGGAGGTATTAGTGTCTATAAAAACAGGGTTGTACCACTCTGAGTATTTGAACATGAAAGTGATCCAATTTTGATCAGGTTATCCTTGGTCAGATTTACACACTCCAGACCTCTGATCACAATCTTATTAATATTCTCAAATATCTCTCCATTATTTTACTGTTCACAAAAATTTGAAAAACATTATCAAAATACAATATAGCATAACAATGTTTTTAAGGGTTGTTAAATATTTTCAGGAGTAATGTGAGAAATCACCAGGATTAGTGCAGAAAGTTTCGAGATGCTTAGTTATTTTAGAGTTGTAATAAACAAGCAATATAATATGTATTTTGCTTGATTAAATGTAGAGGTGAATAGCAAAAAGGTAAACATGTAAAGGAAATTTGAAATCACTACTTAGTTAGTGGTATCATGTTTAAGTAACTTTGTTTGCAAATGTTCAGCCATAACATGTTTCGTTTCTAATTTAGATGAAGCAGATATAATATTGAATTCAATGGAGGAAATAACAGAGAGTATTTTAAAAGAAAAGAGAGTAGGGAGAAAGTTGGAAAAACAAAATACAGACATCAAGGCAAAGATAAAAGAATTGGAGCTCGAACACAGCAACAATGAAGAACTTCTTAAGGAATCCTCATCTAACTGTCATATTTTAGAAAAAAAATATGAGTCGGAGAAAGATAAATTAGCATTAATTGAAGAAACTATTAAAACAATTCGTAACAGCAAGGAAAGAGCTAAGTTGATGATTCAAAACTTAGCTCCTAATTTAAAATTAGATGACACATTTTAACTACTTTACAATAGGATTAAAGAACATTATTATACAACTGAGCACTACCAACCTTAAGAATAACAAGTTTTATCTTTGAAGTTAAAGATAAAATGCAAGCTTGAGTATATAATAATACAATAGCACAAATGGTATCATTGTCTTTGATGATTACTTAAATTACTTGGTCCAGCTGACTTTGGGTATATCATAATGTTCTGTTAACTTGTCCAGTCTTTCATTGAATTCCTACAGTTGAATTTAAACTCTGGGTTATTGCATGAATCAAAATATGTACAGTACCGACCTCGAGTAACATAACTTGACTTGCGAGTATCAAATGGCGAGTGGGCAAGTGACTCGCGATGCAGTTGCGTGTGAGAGGTTTGCAAGTGGATAAAATATTTCGCTGTTTGCGAGTAAATTGAAATAACTCGGAAAAATTTCTTTCTCCACAACTGCATCGTGAGTCACTCGCCCACTCGCCATTCGATACTCGCAAGTCAAGTTATGTTACTCGAGGTCGGTACTGTATACGTATCTACATTGTACACAAAGACTGACATAAACTTACAGCTACTCTTTCCTTATGACTTTGTGATGCTTTTGCCAGAATGCGATCAGCTGACTATTTTAAGCGAGAATTTAGATCAAAGAAGTTGAGACAATTGTTGTAAGTACTCTAGCATAAATGAGCTAAGAATGGCCAAGCTATTTCAAATATTCTTAAAATATAGATATTTTCTTGATTTTAGCATCAAAAAGATAAAGTAAACCAACCTAGAGTGGGAAAATCTCAGAAAGTGCAAACAGGGCCACTACCTGCATGTTTTTCATAGCATTACAACAATGTTTAACATTGCACAAAATTTTTCAGATTTAAATTACAGGTTATCAAAATGTAGCCTAGATTCCCATGTCATCTACATTCCTGTTAATAAAACAAATAACAATAGCAAATTTACAAGCAACTCCTAACTGCCATGTACAAATGCCTTTTGCTGCCAGGAAAACAGGCCAGATAATCACACAAAATAGCTTCTTTGCTTTTTTAAAGGTTTACCAACACATTCCACTAATGAGCGTTTGGCAAAAGTCTTTAAAATACTCAACTCTTTTTTCTTTCACTCGATCAAATGCTATTTGGGCTGGTGTTCGCCTGTCATTTGATTTTGAGATATTTTGTGCTTCGTCTTCAATCTCTTCATTTCTTTGAGGAGCTTCAACTTTTTTCACATGCTCTCGTTTCTTACTTTTCTTCTTTCTTAATCATTTAATAGTTAATATACTATGAAATACTGTACTTGTCAACCATGAATAGATTTTTATGTGAGGCAATGACAAATTCAAGTTGGCACTTTGAAACTGACATTTTAACATGCCTTACATTACAAATATAATGCCTTAACGTCAACGAGACAAAGCTTAAGGCTTTTTTATCATCAAAGAGTCTGATTTGTACAATATTCTTACGTACTTTTTCTTAACACCTCCATCTTTTACACCTTTTAATTTTAGAGAGCCTCCAACAACATCGTATGCGTCCGACATTTTGTCACTGATCTGTTAATTTGTGATATAACTGCAGTGGTATAATACACAAAGTGACAACAGACAACAACTTACACGTGTTGGGTCCATGACTTCGTTCACGTTGTTTTCAATTTTTTTTGAATAAATTGTGCACAAGGTAAGAAGTAAGTGTTTCTATTGAAAAATATCAAACGATAAAAAAGTCTGTTAAGAGGCTGTATAGATTCTTGTTTTCTTTTTTTTCATAGGGGAGACCATGTGTTTACTGTTCACATCGATGGTGGTAATATGGTCATATCACAAGGTATTTCGAATGATTATCAATGATATTTATCATTTGTAATAATATTTTATTTGTCTGGTATTTGGACAAGACAAGACTACACTATGGAAATATAGTTTGTACAACTGCCAAAACTCTTCGAGGGGCAGAGCTGAGCTGAGTGTTGTGAGAGGGGGTTCTTATTTTAAAATATTTTTATAATTTTGTAGTTTTGTTTGTTGAGCCAAGATATCCGTTGATAAAATCTAGCGTCAAAAATTCAACTCTTGGCGTTTGTGGGGCTCGTAGTCAAAGACTTTGGGTTCTAAATCTTTTGACTTATTTGCATTAGAGTCAGTGAACCAGTAATAAGACAATAAACTGTCTGATAATTGAGGAAACTATCCATTAAATTGAATTTGATAGACTACGGTAAAACAAGGAAGAAACTATGTGATTTTCTCTTGGCATCACTGGTATAGACATAGGAAGATTAGTTTAAAAACAAAAATTCTCTCTGATTTGCAATCTTTTCAATAGTCAATTTGCTTTTATTACCATCTCTGCATTAGAAAAAATATTTTTGAAGGAACTGTTAAGTTTCAGTAGCCATCAAAACAGAAAACTTCCTTTGCGGGAAGTTTTTCGCCACGCCACTTTAAAGGCACAGAATAATAATTATACAGAAGTGTCCTTCAAGTGTGCGCCGCTTCCTCGTGGTCGCCATTTTTTCAGCAAAATACATTTGTTTCCGACCACTGCAATAAAATGACGTCAATACTTCGTAATGAAATCGAAAATCTTTTATCTTAAGAAATGACGTCGGGTCATGTTAGTGGTTGGGAACAAGTTAAAAAGCCAAGATATCTTCCTGGAATAAAGGCAGCCGATATGCGCTGCACAACATGCATGAGAATAAAAACATCTTTTAAGCGATGCAAACGATTTACAGCAAAAAGCATTCGCAAAATTTGCATAAAAATAAATATTTATTTGTAGTATTGGTATCGATTCGATGACAGCCAGACGCAACTTGTAATTGGTTCATTCGTAGTGCTAATAAGAAATAGAATTTGTATCATTGTATTTCTTTTAAATTTAATGTGAAATTTTGTGCCATCGTTGACTTTACATAGGCTCATTGTTGTAGGATGATTCTTAGATTTGGTTCATGCAATAGTTGATGTAATGAGTCAATCGCTCGGTATGATCATTGTATAAGAAGTGAGAACATACGGTCATTTATCAAAGTTAACTGCACAAAAAGATGGAATTTGACGAAAAAACCCCATTGCTGACCGGAAAATGCGAGAAGATTCCAAGTGCTTATGAAAGGTACGTATAAGGTTTTGACTTCCGCTGTGATCACTGTACATGTAACGTTTATGATCAGTCACTGTACATATATCGCTTACGATCACTCTACATATATCGCCTATGATCCCTGCTCGTTTTTAATCGGGAGAATAGTTGTTGTGATACGCCGACAAAGCTTTTGACCGGCATAACAGCGGAGACTGCATACACTGGAAGGTTTTCCGCGCTCCTTCGGCTGATTCAATGCACTGAATTATTAAAAGTTTAGATGTCCGACAGTCGGCGTCATTGACTCATGTTTATGCGCGATGGTAAAAATTATTACGAAAGTTGCACGTGTACTCAGTTTCATGTATAAAACCATGGACGCATTTTTTACTCACACAACATGCAATATCAGTCTATGCACAATTAGCAACACGTAAAGTCCTTTTTTGGGAGTAAACAATAAATAAACATATTTGAATAAAGAAACATGATTCTGTAAGAATATTGGTATCGAAATATTGTGTCGAAACGTAAAATTTTTAATCAATTTTGGTATCGAAACTGATATCAGTATAGTATAAAGCAAATTCCGAAAAAGCAAGACATCTTGATATAGCAAAATATGAATCAAAACAAGACGAGAAGTGAACTGTAAATTTTCGACTTTATTTCAAAGTTATCCTCAGACAGAATGGTTTTGCTTTTTCGGAATTTGCTTTATACTATATTTCTATAAATTATCGGCTGGTCATGGTTTTCGATATCAGTATCGACCGATACAAATTGTAAAGTAGTCAGAACCGGTCAGTAGCGGATCCAGGGTTAGGCAAAATAATTAAAACCGTTAATTTTAATTTTAAAATACGTTTATATAAAAGTAAATTAGTCATAAGTCAAATAAACCAGTCAGTAAGTTAAAATAATTTATTTTGCCCATAGCTGAATCCGCCCCCGGTACCGGTATAGGAATAGAAATCTCACTATCGCTCATCCGATGCATAACAATACCAACTATTAAGTTAGAAATCCTGGAGCAGAAGACGGATACGAATCATCACCCGGATGGGGATAAGGACACTAATGAGGGGATAAAATAAGAAATGACTGAGGAGATAAAACGCACAATGGGATAAAGTGGGTCACGGTGAGGGAATAAAACACGTAATTTCTAAAGAAATAAATAATGTCCAATGCCCTGAAATTTACATAGCTGGACAAAAAGTTGTGAGCTGGCTATGACTACCTCCTGCAGATAGCACCTTTTCTGATAAGTATTGAAAGGCATTGTCCAGATTGTAATATGTCAAATTCTTGTCGGTATTTCCTTATAATTTTATATGGTCACAGTTGTGGAGAGGGAAACAACATCTTTGAAAAGAGTGCAGAAGATTGACATCGATCAATGGAAAATAGTTACACTGCTATTATATGCGCTAGACATGCACATATTACTCAATCATCATGCATGTATCAATCCCCATCTGCGTTTTATCCATTCTATTCTTGTTTCATCCACTCATTCATGTTTCATCCTCATCATTCCCTCATCCGTCTACAACGTATCTGTGTCGTTCGTATTCGTGTTTCATTCAGTCCAATAACATTGCTGTCAGACTGATGTCAGCATTGTTTCTGCACACGATCAAAGTTGCGTCTCAAGGCCTGTTTTTATCAGACTCTTGTTGGCGAAACGGGACATTAAACCGGACGTCGGCACGTATTTGGTTCATTAATATTTTTAGATTTTAGGTTTGTGTTTACATTTACTTGCATTCACTTAGTGCCCTACTTGTCCTGACTTAGTGCCCTACAATTTCAAAAGAAATCAGTCATTCCGACTATATGAATAAACACCCAGGAACTATGCCACCGTGAATTCGTAAATTTTTTCCCTCTCAATTGCGACGAGTAATTGCAAACTTTTTAAGTATTAATTTACAATTACGAAAGCGGGTTAGTTTGCACACACTTAGTTTCTTTTATTGCGAGCGCATAACTCATCTTCTACGCACCAATATAAGTCGAGAGATGAAAGTTGGTAACACTTGTTGCAAACATTTCATTCAACCATATCACCGTAATCTGGTAAACAACACGAACAAAATGTTTCTATAGAAAATTTACAATCTCATTCTTTCCATTGACACGTATCGTGTCTGTTCCACGATTTCAGAGGAACGATGTGGTTCAGCCAACTCTTTTAAAGCAGACAATTACGTTTTTTCTCATAGCCTAAACCGTTATGTTTGTGGAATGTGTTTGTGAAATGTGTGAGTCAATTAAGACTTATCTCTTTTCTGCTTGCACAATGTTTTTCTAAGTCATTAGTTTTATCACGATACCTGTTCTTTGTTAGATGCGTGAATATTAACGTGTTTGCCAACGCATGCATGCATTGTGTAATCTTTAAAGTGCAATAATTATTCTGACTGGTTTGATAATATTTGACTGAATTTATCCATCTATAATAACTTATAATAACCTAGATTCATGTGGTCTTGGTTTTGAAAAAAGTTTCGCCATTTTCGAGATAAAAGTTTAAAGTTTTTAAGGGTCCAAATTTCCGAAGAGGGTATTAATTTTCTAAAGTAGGGGGGGAGGCATTTTTCTTAGGAAATACAGCCAGGGTGAATTTCCTGGGACGCTGGGCCATTTTAACTTTGTTATAAAGCACACATACATCGTTACACATACACCAAGTATGACATGTCGCTATGCAACGATGCTTTTTGGAATAGCCCTTTTTTTTGAACAATCGCCGAAATTTTATAATCGAATTTGCTGTGTTCTTGAACGTCAAATTTTTTTGAAAACCTACCAAAAAAAATGTTTCGAATTGTATACGGTATAAAAAACACAATAACCTTTCATTTGAAGCAGTTGCAATCCCATTGCAACAATTTTATTCTTGCTCTAACAATTATATTTCTACTGCAACAATTTTAATCTTGCTGGAACAATTTTATTCTTGCTGCAAAAATTGCAACCCTGCCGTAACAATTACAATGTTGTTGTAACAATTACAATCCTGCTGCAGTAATTTTAATGTTGCTGCAAAAAATTTAATCATTCTGCAACAATTACAATCCCGCTGCAACAATTACAATCCCGCTGCAACAATTACAATCTTGCTGCAAGAATTGCAATCCTACTGCAACAATTACAAACTTGCTGCAACAATTGCAATCCCGCTGCAACAATTACAAGCTTGATGCAACAATTGTAATCCTGCTGCAACAATTTTAATGTCGCTGCAAAAATTTTAATCCTTCTCTAACAATTACAATCCCGTTTCAATAAGCACAATCCTGCTGCAACAATTTAGAAATATTGTTGCAACAATTACGATCCTGCTGCAACAATTTACAAATATTGTTGCAACAATTACGATCCTGCTGCAACAATTTCAGTCTTGCTGCAACAATTCGATTGCTGCTGCAACAATTACTATCCTGCTGTGACAATCTTTATCCAGCTGCAACATTTTTATCCCTGCTGTAATATTTATAATCCTGATGCAAATATGATTCCTACTTAATGTACAGCAATGAACTTTTACTTTAGGAATGGAAAGCAGCGAGCTTCGTCTATTTTATCAATCAGGCAGTTGGTAAGTATTATGAAAAGCTTGAAATCTTAAACAAATATTTCCTTGTTTTGGGTTGCGAATGTCAACTGCTTCACAATCTCCTTTAGTTTAGATTTGCTGATAAAACGGACCGAATTCTCCTTATTCTAGCAGTGTTTGGTTCTGCTGCTTATGGCGTCATTATTCCTTGTCAGTTTTTACTTTTTGGCGAAATAATCGACAGGTTTGTCAATTACATCATTCACGAAAACTGGGACATTTCAAATTTGCCTGACATCGAGTCTTCTACCGCTAAAACTGCCTCTTATTACGTCGTATTGGCTTTTGGAAGTATGCTGTCTTCCTGGATGGGCATGGGTCTGTTTGCTTTATCCGCAGAGCGTCAAGTGCATAAAATGAGATTGGCAATGTTTCAAAAGGTCATTTATCAAGATGTTGCCTGGTTTGAGACGTCGTCTGTTGGCAAACTAAATACAAGATTCACTGAGTACGTACACTCCGCAATACATTAGAAACTGTGTGCTGTTTCTAAGTAATGCGGCCTACATCACTTTGATTTCTATGAACAGAACTGACATCTCGCTCTCGTAGAGATTAATCTGATCTGCATGATTTATGATAACCATTTATTCATGTATAACGATGTTTATGCGATGACAACAGCCATGAAATATTAGTTTTTTTATTGCACACGGGGACAATGTGTTTTACCCACTCTTACTTGACCTAAACAATCTTCAACAAAATGAAACGACACAAAAACAAATACTCTTGTAACAATAAATAGAACACACAGTAGACACTCACACCCACCCCCACACATCTTCACAAACAACCCTGTGACGTCGTGACGTCATGACTCAAACTGACAAATACGACTAACCTAACATTTACTCTACCGATGACTCTAAAGATGACTACGGCGAGGGATGTTAAAACGTCGGTAAACACCTACAGTTTTTCTCAGGGTTGCTAAGCTTGAAAATGAACGACTGTTAACATGTGGCGATTCTCACCTTTTGAGTAACAATGCGTTTACCCTATTTTGTAGAGAGTTGCATACAATATTGGATGGAATGGGGTCAAAGCTTAGTCGTATTATTTCAAGTATCACGTGTTTCGTATGTGGATATGCGGCTGGTTTTATTTTCTGTTGGGATTTGACATTCATACTTCTGGCTTCGCTCCCTCTTATTGTCACGTGTGCCATTTTCATGACAAAGGTTGGTAGCTGCAGTATGAAGATTGATAGAATATGCAAAATATACGAAAATACACACTTTATTTGCCGTGAAATGCTTATATGGCTGGTGTTGAGATCATTGGTCAAAGGGTGTAGTTACGTTGTGTATGTGGTGGTCAATTTGCGTCGCTTGCATCGCAAGAAATGTGGATGAATGCCTTTGATGACAGTGAAATATGCCATGTTGGCTTCTATTTGACACCTACTCTTTTTTAATCATTGTTATATCATTATGTAGACGAGCGGATATTTTTTAAATAAGGAACTACTTGCTTATAGCAAAGCAGGTCACATTGCAGAGCAAAGTATTTCCTCCATAAAGACGGTTGCTGCTTTTGGTGGTGAAAGTTTTCAAGTGCAAATGTAAGTTCAACTAATCATTCATTTTGGATGTCGAGATTGGTAATTCACCATTATCAAATCATCGCAAATTTTTTTTGGTTTTGTAGGTATGCTGATAATTTAGTTGATGCCTGCAGATATGCAATACGGAAAGCAATTTGTGTGGGAATTGGATTGGCTGTATTTCAGCTAATTATTTACACTGACTATGGCGTTTCAGTATGGTATTTACAGTTAACAATCCTTCTTATATGCAATCATTAATTATTAATCGAGTTACGTCATGAAATATTTTTCCTGTAACGTGCGTGCTCATTTATAGGTATATTATAAGAATGGCTCGCAAAGAAGCTAGAACCCTGGATATTCTTTAGCAGTATGTAAATAATTTTTTGAACAGTACAGCCAACATGTTTTAAAATTCCTCTCAGTATGAGGAATGCTAATGTTCTTTCATCGTTGAAATTTTCCAAAATTTATTTGAGAAAGAGTATGGATGGCCACATATGATGTCAAACGAATTTATTTTTGGGGGATGCAAGGGGTGCCACCCCTGAATATCAGAGTTCACTCCCCTAAATAAATTGTTCACCATCCCTGTAAGAAGCATATCAACCCCTCCCTTATTTTTTAGCAAAACAAATTCGCAATTCAGCCGAACCTTTCTGGTCGATGTTTCAACTTTTTGCATTTCCTTTGGTCGCTACACTGTAGCCGATCACCACTACACTACCTTACTTCGTCTTACGCCACTTCCTTACCACCTTGAAATTTTTAGCTAAACCCCATTAAAAAATAGGAAAATCCTTGCATAATCTCACTGTGGTATAGGGTATACACTTAAGGATAATGAATAACAAAGAAAAATAGAAAAGTTTAATCGATGCATATATCGTTGAAATATGAATATTCTTTTGAATCGCAGGTTTTTTTCGCTGTTACTTTGGGATCAATGCTGTTGGGTCAAACAGCTGCAACTTGCTTTCAAGCATTGAATTCGGCCAGAGGAGCTGCTTCTATTGTATTCAAAACAATAGATGAGGTTTGTCTTTCATGTCTCGAATATGTTTGAATTCGATTCAGTTCCTTGACGTCGTCTTTCGTTCATTGTCGTTTATATTGCTTGATCATACATATTTACTGAAAATTTTTAACCTTATTTTCTCTCTTGGTATAGTTTTTGTACTATTGTATTTGTATCTTTAAATTGTCATTAACTTGTGTGTGGAAATATATTGTCACTTTTATGACTTTTTAAAATACGATCCATCGTGTATTGAAGCCACGATACATGCGAACTTTGTATCATATAGCTTCAATTATGAAATTTCAAAGAGTTAAAATAAAACACACTGAGGCACAGCATGATTAAAAGATTATTGAAGTCTCACACACATCTGTTAAGACATCAAAGCTTTGTCTAAAAATATTTTTCTGTTACAGTATTGGCGTCTCTTGTTTTGTACAATTGTATTGGTGACGAAAAACTCGGTCGTAGAGCTTCTCTTTCCCTTGAAAATTATTCTTCAAAATTGATTAATGGTTTCTGTAAAGTTTGTGCTAGTTTTAACTTCATGTCGTATTTTATGCATTTAGACGTCAAACATAGATGCATCGTCAGCATTTGGTATTGTACCTAACAACATCAAAGGGAATTTACAGTTTTGCCAAGTAAATTTTGCATATCCTAAGCGTCCCGATGTGAAGGTGAGGGATTTAAAACACATGGCGAATGAAAAACTTATTGTGTGTAACAGACATTGCTTGTGGGCCTTCCATGAAAGATGACATGCTAAATTGTCCTTAAATAAAGGTTCTGGAAGATTTTAATCTGGTCATCTCAAGTGGGCAATGTGTTGCTATAGTCGGAGAAAGTGGTGGTGGAAAAAGTACAATTGTAAAGCTTTTACAGAGATTGTATGATCCTGATTTTGGATACGTAAGTCATGCATTGTAGAGTGACCATCAATTTTTTTATCAATGTCATAGCTAAGCATCCATTTAGTTCAGTCAAGAAGCACATTTTAATTTCTATTACTCGCCTAAATTAACGGATTGATTGTTGTCGATTTTCTTTTCACAAACACCAGATATTACTTGACGGCTATCCGTTAAACACGCTTAATGTTGGTCATCTTCGACGCCATATTGGTGTTGTTAGCCAAGAACCATCGTTATTTACAACGACAATCTCGGAGAACATTGCATTTGGCAATGAAAATGCGACACAGCGCGAAATTGAAGCTGCTGCAAAGATGGCGAATGCTCATGATTTTATTCTACGTTTTCCGAAGGTGAGGAGAAAATTTTCAGTTTCTTTTATTCCAAATAATCATTGAGATGATGAAGGCAACTATCAACTGTAACTTTGGATAGCCCATTTACAAATTGAAAAATAATTATAGACAGCCATTTACATGCGACATTTGATGTAAACTTCAAGTGGTGAGCTGAATTGACTTCACAAATTGTTTTAAGAGAAAATTTTGAACAAAACTCGACATTTGATTGTTTTAATAATGTCATGAGTTTAGTGACATGAGTTTATGTTGTCTCCTCAAATAATGTTTTTTACATCACAGAGTTCTAACTTATCATAGTTGCTATCGTAGTTAGTAGCTATATTAAAGCTATCATCAGAGAATTGATACTATTATTTAAGTAAAACTGACTAAAACTGGGTCAGCCTGCTTGTAAGTTAAGACCTGTCCATAGTAATGTATCCCTTTTCATGTATTGGAAAATGTATCCTTGGCTCCGCTTCCACATGACCGTTTTCGAGCTTACAAGTGTGGACACAAGGCAAAAACGCACTGAAACGATCCCCGCTTCAATATAAATGCATTAATGTGGTATGCAGAAAATCTTTTTCAGGGTTATGATACGTTATGCGGTGAGAGAGGAGCAAAAATGAGTGGAGGGCAAAAACAACGTATAGCTATCGCTAGAGCCTTATTACGAAACCCGGAGATATTACTTTTCGACGAAGCAACTTCTGCTCTGGATTCCGAAAGCGAATTAGCAATGCCATTGATAAGGTTTGTTGATGTGGATAAATGCTTAGACTGCATTAAAGAGATGAAAAAATGCCCAACAAAACAAAAGGCTGATCCTGTAGCTTAAATTAAATGATAGTAACATAATATTTATTTGAGATACTATCCTAAGAAAGCTACCGGTTATGAAATTCTAAAGAACAATGTTCCCATCGAGCCGCAAAAATATATTTGGGCGTAACATTGATGCGTTTTGAACTTCACGTTTTTTCTGAGTTTGTTAATTTTACTATGAGACTCGCATTATTTTCTGTCAGCAGAAAAAAACTGTTTTCTTGAAAAGATGATGACGTTTCGTATTTTAATGTAGGCTGGGAAAAATAGGACGACAATCATTATTGCGCACAGACTTTCGACTGTCAAAAGTGCGGATGTGATAGTGGTCTTAAATGAAGGGAAAATTCACGAGATTGGCAAACATGAACAGTTGATGAAGTCAAATGGTATCTACCAAAGCTTCATTGAATTACAGGTTAGAGGTTATCCACTTCTTTTGTTAGAGGTTATCCACGTATCTGGTTAGGGGTTATTCACGTATATTGTTTGAGGTTATCCACGTATCTTGTTTGAGGTTATTCACTTCTTTTGTTAGAGTTTATCCACTTATCTGGTTAGAGGTTATCCACGTATCTTGTTTGAGGTTATCCACGTACCTTGCTTGAGGTTATTCACTTCTTTTGTTATAGGTTATCCACTCCTTTTGATAATTATCCACTTCTTTTGTTAGAGTTTATCCCCTTATCTGGTTAGAGGTTATCCACTTCTCTTGTTATATGTTATCCACTTTTCTTGTTTGAAGTCATCCACTTCTCTTGTTAGTGGTCATCCATTACTCTTGTTTGAAGTCATCCACTTCTCTTGTTAGAGGTCATTCACCTCTCTTGTTGGAGATTATCCACTTTTCATTCACTTCTCTTGTTCATCCACTTCTCTTGGTCATCCACTTCTCTTGTCATCCACTTCTCTTGTTTGAGGTCATCCACTTCTTGTCATCCATTCTCTTGTTTAAATTCATCCACTTCTCTTAGGTCATCCACTTCTCTTGTTTGAGGTCATCCACTTCTCTTGTTTGAGTCATCCACTTCTCTTGTCATCCACTTCTCTTGTTTGTCATCCACTTCTCTTGTTACAGGTCATCCACCTCTCTTGTTTGAGGTCATCCACTTCTCTTGTTTGAAGTCATCCACTTCTCTTGTTAGAGGTCATCCACTCTCTTGTGAGGTCATCCACTTCTCTTGTTAGAGGTCATACACTCTCTTGTTTTCATCCACTTCTCTTGTTTGAGGTCATCCACTTCTCTTGAGGTCATCCACTTCTCTTGTTAGGTCATCCACTTCTTTCATCCACTTCTCATCCACTTCTTAGTCATCCATTTCTCTTGTTTCAAGTCATCCACTTCTGTTTGAGGTCATCCACTTCTCTTGTTAGGTCATCCACTGAGGTCATCCACTTCTCTTGTTTGAGGTCATCCACTTCTCTTGTTTGAGGTCATCCACTTCTCTTGTTAGGTCATCCATTTCTCTTGTTTCAAGTCATCCACTTCTCTTGTTTGAGGTCATCCACTTCTCTTGTTAGTGGTCATCCATTTCTCTTGTTTCAGTCATCCACTTCTCTTGTTTGAGGTCATCCACTTCTCTTGTTGAGGTCATCCACTTCTCTTGTTTGAGGTCATCCACTTCTCTTGTTGAGGTCATCCATTTCTCTTGTTTATCCACTTCTCTTGTCATCCACTTCATCCACTTGTCATCCACTTACTCTTGTCATCCACTTCTCTTGTTGAGGTCATCCACTTCTCTTGTCATCCATTTCTCTTGTTCATCCACTTCTCATCCACCTCTCTTTGTCATCCACTTCTCTTGTTAGGTCATCCATTTCTCTTGTTTGTCATCCACTTCTCTTGTCATCCACCTCTTTGTTTGAGGTCATCCACTTCTCTTGTTTGAAGTCATCCACTTCTCTTGTTAGAGGTCATGCACCCTCTTTTGAGGTCATCCACTTCTCTTGTTTGAGGTCATCCACTTCTCTTGTTAGAGGTCATCCATTTCTCTTGTTTGAGTCATCCACTTCTCTTTTAGGTCATCCACCTCTCTTGTTTGAGGTCATCCACTTCTCTTGTTTGTCATCCAGTCATCCACCTCTTTGTTCATCACTTCTCTTGTTTGAGGTCATCCACTTCTTGTTTGAGGTCATCCACTTCTCTTGTTTGAGGTCATCCACTTCTCTTGTTAGAGGTCATCCACTTCTCTTGTTAGAGGTCATCCACTTCTCTTGTTAGGTCATCCACTTCTCTTGTTTCAAGTCATCCACTTCTCTTGTTT